GCACGATTACAGCTCTAGTGCCTGTTACATTGACCTCAGTGGCCTAATGGATAAGGCACTGCACTCCTCAAGAGGGGGTTGTGAGTTCGAGTCCCATCCGAGTGATCACAAACCACAACATAGTGGGCCGGGATGCTCCCAGCAAATGCTGTTTTGGCAAGGCATCTTTTTTTTCTCATGTCTCTTGCGACCCATTAAAGTTTTAATGGGAGAAAAAGCAATCGCGCAAAACCCGGAAGTAGATTCCGTGACATTTTAGGAACATTTGCAGAGGATCGAATTATGGATTTAGGTTAAGTTTATGTTTGGGTCACTCACCGCTGATGTTCAGAATACTTTGTTCAGTTTTCATGCAGTTCGAGAGAGTTCTAGTTTGGAAGTTGCTAGCCTAACTGTTACTCGCATAGCTGTTGCTAGCCTAACTGTTACTAGTCTAACTGTTACTAGCCTAGCTGTTGCTAGCCTAACTGTTACTCGCATAGCCATGGGAAAAACCTTTGGGAACTATTTTATTTTCTGTCATTAAATAAACCTTTCAACATTCCTAAGAGTGACTGTTGTTTATTTTGTGTGTTCGGTTGGTGCAAAGCCGTATAATAAGCGGGATAATCGATAATGTATAGTACGCAGGTCATTATCAAAAAATAAGAACCTTCAGGGTGGAAGCAGTCCGCTTCGCCCTGTCAGTACTTATTTTCCGATAATGACCTGCATAATATACATTCTCCCTTACATAACTATCTTCCTTTACTTATTTTGTTTTTCAGTCAGAGCTGCAAAAACCTGTTAAACTCCTTTTGTGGCGATTATTTAATCATCTCCTTCAATTAGCCTCTTCTTTCCTTTTATAGGACTTGCAGCTGTTACTTTGGGGTCAGATGAAGTATCTAATGAAGACAAAAGACCGCATCAGTTTCAAAGACCTATACTGGCCAAGAATATGCCTGTGCTCTGGAGCTCTGACTGGCATGAACGGACCAGCCTGAGGGGCACCTGCGAGGAAACAACACATTATACACACAGTGAGGAAAAACAGTCTGTATTTCAGCCTTAAACTGATTTCTGGATTCCACACACTCATCACACACAGCTTTAAGCACAGCGTTCACCATTAGCGCTCGTAAATCAACACGGCCCAGATGTCTATGGGATTGTGTGACCGACCGCGCATAACACAATATACAGAGTTTTGGGGAAGTGACAGACTGAAAGAGGCAGGTTATCGGCCCTCACAATGGACTTGGATCCGGTCCAGCCTGGCCACTGCACCAACTGTCAGTCATATTACTCGCCTAACAAAGAATGCAATAAGTAGTGGCTAATTAAATCTTTTAGAAGGTTATACCGTCCATAAGCTAGAGTTTCAGTTTTTGTGTCAAACTCATCTCGCCCTGTGCTTACCGGACTACGGGTCAGGCCAAAGACTTTGAAGTGACGTGTTTTGCTTCTAAGTGTGTCTCAGTCTGCTCTGTTTCCACTTTGTACATATATTTTAGTGTATTGTAGTTAATTGTACACACTGTTATTACATGCACAGGTGAAAACTCAGAAAATTAGATATGGTTCAAAAGTCTATAATTTATCTAAATAGAGATAAATTAGAGAAATTAAAAGGATGACCCAAAGTTAATTTAGGAATTCAATGTACCCATATAATTTGCATATTATGACTTCATTTGGTGTTGGCAATCGTGGATTTTCTAGCTAAAATACTAAACTGATAATTAAAAAATGTCCAACAATTTAATGCATTTCTCCATTTTCATAACTAGCAAAGCCAACATAGTAATAACTAGCTATTAACATTATGACATGAGTGGACCATGTATTTAGTTATGAATCATAATGATAACTAAGCTATTGAGCATTATTGATTATTATCTAACTGGCTGGACTATAATCTTTGGTGCTGTAATAACTGAAACTGTTACTATAATTCAATCTGAAGAGACCAAGACAGAAACATTAATGCATGAAAAAGATTTATTTGATTGGCGCATTGACCCCGGCAGTGACACTCGGCAGCGCTGTGCGATTGGCAGGCCCTGGATGGGTGAGAGCCGTGGCCAGTCTTTCAGTCTGAATTTGCGCTTTCAGCTTTATTACTATTATATACATTACATTTATGCTTAAAGGCCATTTCCATCCAATTTTTCAATATTTGTTTTTTTTGTGTGCAGAAAGGTTATAACTTTCCCTTTCTGTTATCCTTGCCCAGTCCTGAGTCTTGACCTTCATGAGATGAGTAATCTTAGAGTCCTGTTGCGAGGGGAGCCCACTGTAGTTTTTAGCGGTAAGACATGAAGAACTACAATCTGCAGTCTGCATTTGAAGCCATCTTAAACAACTTCCTGAGAGAGAACAAGCATGACCACCTGCTGCAGTCGTTACTGTTGTCTTATGTCTTGTGAGGGATTTCCGACATTGATACTGTATTCTTCAGCGTTTTATCCCAGCTGTTTGATGTTCTGCTGATCTTCTCTGGCTCTGCAGTGGAAAGGGCACCGACATCACACGCAGCCGGAAAACTCAGCCAACTCACATTTCAGTCGTTTCAAAAGGAGGCAGACGCTTTCTCAAAACGACGCTCGAACCTGTGCTGAGGTTTGTTTCTGGCGACAGGTGAACACAAAGTCATTTTTCATCATGAAATGTATCAACTGCTTTGTAGATACACCCTAACTTACATTTCTGCCAGCTGTATTCATTATTTTATACAAACCGTGAGCTAGTTTGTTCCACAACACAAAAACATCCATCCATTTTCTTCTCCTTTATCTGTTGCCGGGTAGCAAAGACAATCTAAGCAGAGGCACCCAGACTTCCCTCTCTACCCACACTTCCTTCGGCTCATCCGGGGGAATCCTGAGGCGTTCCCACGGCAACTGAGAGACACAGTCCCTCCAGTGTGTTTTGTCCTGGGTCTTTCCATCCCAAACAGATCCCTCCCATGTGACTGAGGCTCTCACCTTTATTACCCAAAGCTCATGACCATATATGATTCATAACTAAACATAGAAGTATTTTGATATTTTTATCTATTGACCGTTATTTAACCAGGAAAGTCTCACTAAGATTTCAGAATCTCTTTTTGAGGGGAGTCCTGGCCCTAGAGCATATATTTCCAATTAGTACTTGTAGAGCAAGTAGTATATAGTAACCCGTATCAAAGGAGAAAGCCCAATATGGAATCTCATTGAATATGGAATGGAAAGTTAAAAGGCGGACTACTTTACTTTGGCAGAGTTCCCTAAAAAAAAAAAAAAAAAACACAGCTCTGACGCTGATTATGATAGTAAATTACACAGGCAGATGAATTTGGCAGTGCTTATGCCAAAAATGGTAAGGGAACAGTGAAGAGGTCTAGCAGAACTGTTTACAAGTGTGGATTAGTGTCCAGTAGGTCCTGGCAGCACAGAGCTCTGAGAGGACCACATGGAAACTGCCCACGGGCCACGGGGAGCGGGATGTGCAGAGACTGTTTCTGTTGGAGCGACCGGCAGGAATTCACTTATATGTGGAAATGTTAAGAATTCTAGCAATGACGTTTGGAGCGGGGCATGTTAACCCCAAAAACAGAACATTTTCACCCAGCTCGGAGTCACTGCACTAGATTGATGTTGTGAGTACAGCTCAGACACACATTATATTCAATTTATTTCAATGTTTGAGGCTGAGCTGAGTTTTTTTAAGTATCATGCTCAAAAAGTGCCCGGCCTGCTTGGGCTTATGACGCAGAAGCAACAAAATCAGTCGGCTCCAGACCATACACATGAATACACAATATTTTAGTAAACGTCTCACACACATAAATATATTTCACATTTGACTTTTAGTTCCTGGTCATCTCAGATTACCACTGTGATTGGAGACCTTTAACACAAGGAGCCACAGTGTCTTAAAGTGTCAAACTGTTGTTATGTCCTTTGGCAAAACACCCACATTTACACATTTCATTTTTTTAGGACTAGAGTGACTTTTTTGTATGAATATAAATCATTTAACTTTAACTTCAAAATCAAATGAATGTTGTGCCAAGCCCTACTTCTTCATAATGTTTACTATAGTATAATAGGCCAAGGTAAATTGGCCGAGGATGTGAACCTAATCCTGCACACGGGATGACGGCAGTGTACCTTTTCTTGCTGACTCTTACTTTCCCTTTGCAGACAATGGCTCCTCTGTCAATCTGCTTTCTTACCTCTCCAATAGTCAGTGGTGCAAGCATATCCTGACACACACAAACCTGCACGCGCCATCACCATCAGGCTCCTTCTACTGCGTTGCCCTCTGTTATCAGTGTGTTTAGGGACCCCAGAATGCTGCCAGGGGAGGCTAAGTCATGAGCGCTGTGAGGGGCGCTGAAGATGCCAAGGCCAAGCTAATGCGTGACACACGGCTTTGAAGTGAGTCCAGCACATGGGCATGTAACAAATGTAGCAAGCACAGATACCAAATTACAGCCAGCTGCTTTGATCTGCAAAGCCCTGTGCCGCACTACAGAGGTAATAAGATTGTGTCTGTGTGGAGGCGTGATGTTCTGAGCTTGTCTGTGGCTTTGGCTGCTGGAAGTAGAAGCACAAATATGCTCAGAGACATGAAAGCAACACTTCCTGCTGTAACTGTGTGTGATGGAGTTTATGTGATGAGGAGCAGTTAAGAGTGATGGGCTACAGGGAACTGGACCCTGGCAGCTTCTTGTAGGCGCCTGCTAAAAACATGTTCTGGAAACCTGCTGTCGAGTTTGTCTTGTCATCACATCATCCACTGCAGACTTCCCACTGCCCTTCTCGAGCCGTCATGATCAAGTTGCATCTTGGATTTCTATGTGAAGCAGCCTCTAATCTCATGACAGAGGAGCGCGGATGGAAGCTCCTCTCAGGATTGTAAGGTCACCCATTACTGCTGCACATGTTTATGTCCCTAATTACCCAAATGTGTCTGAGGGTTCGGAGTATTCACTGAGTGATACAATTACAGATCAGGCAGACATTGCAGCTTTACTTGTGGTTGGTACAAGTGATTTTCAACTGAGCCGGGCTCCCCAACAGCTGATGACAGATGACATCTGTGGTTTGAGACGACAACAAGAGGGTCATCAAAATAGCTCCGGAGCTGTCACCTGAAACATTCAGTGTCATCACTAAAGACTCACTCGTTAACAAGGAGCCATCTGAAGATTTACATTATATTATATTTTATATTATTATACTCTGTATGTCATAGTTTAAGATGAGACTAAACAGTTTTCACACAAACACAGGTGAAGTTAGCATTTATATAATATCTCAGTTAAGTTCAGTATCTAGATGTTCTAAAGCAACCTGCCTTTAGCCTAATTTTGCTCTGGCTTTTTAAGATCCAAATAATTAATTTACAAATAAGGACCCCGCCACAGCAATAGAATGCAATTGAAATGTGTTTATTGATAGCTGCAGGATGAGGCTCCATGACGCCGGGCGAAGGTCCCCAGATCAGACGATGCGGGCCCTTCAGTGATGAGGTACAAGGGGAGGCTGGGGTCGGGAGAGCAGACAAACTGTGGTGATGGAGGAGTGGGGGACTGGAGAGGAGAAGTAGGAGGCAGCTCCTAAACCTCAGTCATTGTTTAACAACTTGATTTCATATTAAGAAAAATAATAATTGTCCAATGTCTTTAATAGTAATAATCAATTCATAATTCAATCAAGTAGAGCATGATCACTGCCCAACTTTTTGCTTGTCATACATAAGAAGCATTTTATCTTCACAGTTCCAAAGCACATCATGTTTCATCACTTTTAAAACAATGTTTGATTTGTGGAGAATGAAACATCCCCATGATGTATTTATGATGTAAGCCCTGATCATAACAAAGTACTGCTTTTATACATCCATCCATCCATCCATTTTCTTCCCCTTGATCCATTTCTGGGTGGCAGTCAGAGCTGCACCCAGTACACAGAGCACCAGCCCCTCACTGATCCTCCTGCAGGTGGTGAGTCCACAGGAGCTTGCTTTTATACAGTGTTTTGTAAATTATGAATTTAAGACTGGCTTGAAAATCAACACAAACTCCATGATAGAAAGAAATGTGGATTGAAATTTAGCTTCAGATTCTCTTAGCTCAACGTTCTTAAGTTGTTTGCATTACAGTCATGCCCAGGCCATGGGACTTTCTCTTACAGTCTATAGTGACACCTAGTGGTGAAGGTCTGTCAGAGCTCAATGCACTTGAGTTGCATTAGATCAGAGCCTCACCTGTGCACAAGGCAGAGGCACAGAATGCCCACTTAGTCTCCACAACCAGTATGGCAAATAGCAGCAAATGCAATTCTGTTCACAAACATGTTAACACTTTGGCAATAAAGACTGTGAGAGTGATGTAATGGAAACTTTGGAGCAGGAGAAGTACAAGGTAGGACTTCAGTGTTGTTACAGGTGATTTCCAACACTGCTCTATAGTCCCTTAGGAAGTACGAAGGTGATGGGGGCGCTCACATGGTATTTAGAGTTGTAGTTAGAACCCAATCGTTTTTAGAGTTCCTTAATTGAAATATCTTGTATTATTGAGATGTCAACATCAAGTGCTTATTTATTCAGAGGAGGGTGATATATAAAAAGACATGATTATGCGCCAGGCTCTTAAATCATAAACTGTGGGTGACTATGTAATGACACATGTTCTGGATTTTGAGGCTAAACTATGTCCATTTATTTGGAAGCAGTTCAACTCATCAAACACTCCACTCTCTATCATCTCCCTTTGCCATCGGATTGGCACAGCACCTGTGCTGAACTCCTTAAAGAACTTCTGATCTTTTGCATCGAGTGCCACGTCCTCTTCTTCAGAAATGTCTTTGAACTCGACCATATCTTTGGCATAAACTAAATTAGACTTTGGCACCCAGGGGGGCTCCACCAACCCCACCTCCAGACGATGAAAATTGATATCTTTGAAGAAGGCATGTTTGCGGGGATCATCTCCATTTCTGTAAATAACAGATGTGGTTATTATATGAGGTGGACTAAAACTTTAGGAGTAATACTGTAATCATGTAATCACTTTTAAACAGTGAATGTCTTCTGCATCTTACCTGCTGCAACCGAGGCGATAGTCCATCTTCTTCTTTAGAAAGCGTGTTATAATATCTTTTGTGGGCTCATTGAAGTTTTTGTGTTCAAACTTGGGGGCGTCTTCAAGGGTGCGTCGATTCACCTCTGAGTTCTGCACCTTCTCTCTGAAGTCTTTAAAAGGCAGTCGCGCAGCAACCATCTCGTAGACGGTGCAGCCCAGAGCCCACCAGTCCACTGAAGTCCGATAGTAGTCTTGCTTCAGGATCTCTGGGGCCATGTATCCTGTGGTTCCAGCCTGACAGTACAGAAGGCTCATCATGTTCATGCTACATGAATGCATCAGAAACATCTTCATTTGTCAATAGTTGTTGTAGGACTTAAACTGGAGGTCGCAAGATTAATTTTAGAGGCATTTGTAGAATTCTATTGTGTGAACTAAATGATAGGTCAGATAACATGATTCATGACACAAACAAGCAACATTACAATTGAGGGAACATGTTTAGATACTTTAATAGAGAACCTTATAACAAATGTTATGTCAAATAAAAACTGTTATAAAGCTATCATTGCACAGGTTACAAATGGAAGGAGGGAGCTCCAGATGTCTGCAACTCTTATGCATTTGCAGCTGTAAGATATGGACAGAATAGATATACACTATGTAATTGCAGTGGTTAAGCCTGTGGTGCTCACAGAAGGCCTTAGGTTCCTTAGGTCACAGTAGGCTAACCACTTTCTAGTCTTACAGAGGATGACACCCCAATCATATCCGCCTAGACTTGCTGACAAACCTTGAGCACCATTGTAAAGTAATTTTGGATAAAAAGAGATTTTTTGTTGTTTTTGTTGTTGCTGTAATTAAACTTAAAATGTGAAACCAATATGAAATAGACTCAGTTCATGCAAAGTGAGATAATTTCCTGAGATGTTTCTACAGCTGTGAGCCATAATTATCAACATTATTACAAATAAAGGCTATACAGGATGGGTGTCAAAGTCAAGGATCCGGCCCACGAATGAATGATCTTTGATTAGTATTAGAACAGAGCCATAAGAAAATATGTATTAATTGTATTATTAATTTAATGCTCAGGACATGCATGTTCTCTTTGAAGCAAGTTGGTTTTTGTGTGTGAGCCTGTTGAAAATTATTTTTGAAATGACTGACAGAGCCATTCAAAAATATTGGATAATTCACTAAATAAATACGTAAATAAATAAATAAAATACTGTACACTGTGTTAGGTCTTGCTTCAAATGGTTATATGCAAACATTTTAAAATATTTTAAAAAACCCTGAACCAGTCTGGCCCTCGACTTGTAGCAAATTTAATTTTTTGGCCTCTGATGTATTTGACTTTGACATCCCTGCTATACAGTATCTCACTTTGCGTGTAATAATTCCCTTAATTAAGTTGATTTACAGAAGTAACTAGACTTTTTCCTAGTTTTACCAGTACAGATGTGGCCTACATCTATGTGCTGCCTCACTGACCTTTTGGCACATAGTTTTGCCTTTTGGAAGCTCCACAGCCAGCCCAAGGTCAGACAGGCAACACTGGCCTTTTCCATCTAGAAGCACATTGTCTGGCTTCATATCCCGGTAAATGATGTCCAAGGAGTGAAGATGCAGTATTCCACAGACGATCTGAGCAGAGTAGTAAACAACACGATCCATTTGAAGACCCCTTGCACCCAGATCATAGATGTGAAACTTGAGGTCTCCTCCGATCATGAGGTCCATGACCAGGCACAGGTGGGTCTCAGTCTCAAAGGCATAAGCAAGATTAACAATGAATGGACTGTTGACCTTATCCAAGATTTGCTTCTCCAGGAGTGCAAGTCTTTCACCCCCTTTCTTTTTCAGGCATCTTTTGTGAAGCTTCTTGCAAGCATACATCTGGCCACTATATTTCGCTTGCACTGCACATACCTGTGAAACAAAATATTAGGATTTTTTTTCTCCATACATTGAGAATTTAGCTAAACATGAAATGTACTTACCTCTCCAAAACCACCCTTTCCCAAAATTCTGAACTCATAAAAATATTTGTTGGTAATTGGTTCTTTCTCAAACTCTTTCCATTGAAGAAACTTATAATAGAAGGGGCTTTCCAGATATTCAGAAAAAGGTTTTCCTTTTAAGAATTCTGTTGTGGCATCTTTGATTGTGGGGATCAGATTCTCAAAATTGTCTTCAGAAAGAGACTCTAGAGCTTCAGCTGCATCTCCAGTTAGAAATGACAGAAAATTCCTTGAGCTAGTTAGACAGAATTTGTTAATGATTCTCTTCTGGACATAATTCTTGCTTTGATCTTCAGCGTAGTGCCAGTCAATCAACTCTTCTAAGAATCTTGAAGCAGCTAAATATAGTGGAACAGAAGAGAGAAACTGCTGGAACAGTCTCTTCCCTATGGGCTGCCGCTCACACAGCAACTCAAAGAGCTTCTCCGGTGCATCCTGAGACCTCAGATTCTTGGGTTTGGGCAGTATAAGGCTCGATCTGCGCTTTCTTAGCTCGGATCGGTCCGTCTGCTGGGCGTTCAGGTATGCAGTGTTGGCCACCAGGTTATCCAGAACCCCCAATGCATCCATGTCGGATGTATCCTGTGGCATGGCTCCAGGCAGTGGCACATAGAGACATCAGTTTTCAATTGCACAAACAGCAGCATCAGTGTTCCTCCAACCTAACATCCTCAGTAGTTCCTCAAAGCCCTGTTGAAGAGTTCCTATTCTCTGGGATTTGTAGGAAGCCAAGTGCCTTTAGATTCTGATTTGCAGACAGCACTAGGGAAAGCAACTTATGTGGTTTGAACCTAAGAGGCTTTGTGAGGTCTTTATTTAGACATGCAAAGTCCTGCCAGCACACTAACTGGATTGTAAACCCGTGACAAACGCAGACAAATCATCTTTTCGCCTCTTGTTCTGTAACCCAATTTAGCTGATAAAGTGTTCATCCGAGGATAATAGTAAGTAATTTAGGTGGCAACCTTGTGATGCTGAGATTTGTTTTGACATCATAAAGGTAAATAAAAATAACATCTGCAGGATTACAGTATCTTAAAAAAATAAAATAAGTGTTAAAAATGTTCATTTCCAGCAGCCTTCACCACACTGTTCTGGTCCATTGTGTTTACACCCTTACTTATGTCAAAAGGCTGAGTGAAAAGAAGATAAAACTATGTATGACATATCATTGGAAAATCTTATATAAAGTTTATATATTTTGACTTATTAGACACTTAACAGTTAAAATTAGAAACATTTTATTTTATATTATTTCAACACACACCCACTACAGAAAAAAACAAACTGTAACGCCATGTGGATTCAGACACTGCTGCATGTTGACCCTTGTATGCAGTAATCCATCATTATCAGTCTGATGCGTGAAAATATGTTGGGGTCCATTTTCCACTAGAAATCCTGGAACATGCAAATAGACTTGGATGCAAAGTAGTGTTGGGGATTCTCCTCATAGACATTGTAGTCGTTGTAAATGCATGATTCTTCTGCAGGAAACGCAGTCTTCAGCATCATTGTGGTCTATGAGGTCATTCAGATATGATCCAGAGGGCATATGATATCACCAGTTGGAGGAGCAGCTTATTTCCCAATTCTCTGAACAACCCAGTCCTGCTGGCAGAGGGGGCAACGATTGTTCTGCTTTACCCAAAGAGACATGCAGCAGTTGTGGAAGGAGTGGTTGCATTCTCCCCAAACAACTGAAACAAAAAGAAAATAAAACAAATCACACTCTGAAATGCAAACAAAAATGCATTCTAGATTTATATGGGAATTAGAGAGCTATAAAGTGATCCGGCCTTAGGTCAACGACCCGATTGAGTCTCTGCAATGTTTGTGTGTCCGTGTTCTGCTCTTTCGATGTCTTGTTATGTTCTGATTGTTCTATTGACGTGACACAAATGCTTATCCATGTATGACGTATGTGTGATGTAAACGTTGACTATGTAGACCAGGGGTGGCAAACTCTTTTTAGTCAGGGGCCGATTAAAAAAATAGGAACTGGTAGGGGCCAAGACAATAGAAGAGATTTTCTTTTTCTTATCATAGTTTTTTACATTATGAAATTATATTAATGACTTTAATGTGACATGAGTTTCAAGGTTATTTTCTGGTTTATTTTTTTGAAAACAAAATGCGTTTATTCTTCAGATTGAACCAAAACATGATCAAATATAAAGTAAAAACATTTTATATTGAACTATTTAACTCCTAATGATGTGTTATTGGGTTAAAAAGATAGAATACATTAAATTAGGAAAAAATAGATGATGTATAACCCGCCTTGGTCACCCATTACCATCAATGCTGCTAGTTAATAATAATAAAAAATAATTTCAGGGGCCACTAAAAATTGTCTTGCGGGCCGGATCTGGCCCCCGGGCCTTGACTTTGACACCTGTGATATAGGCCATATCCTGATAATGTTCTGACTGTAAAAGCCAGTGAGCAATCCTGAAATAACCTGAAAGAACCTGAAGAAACAGAATAAACCTCCAAGCTCTGGTGCGCAAAGATCCCGTCTCTGTGTGCTTGATTTTCCACATTTATTTACCACACACAGTATATTGCACATGCTAAACACTGCCAGCATCATTATGGCATATGCTGGCAATCAAGCTAGCAATCAAGCTAGCGTGCAGCTAATGTAGGAGTGTGAATAGTGTCCTTACCAACACAGTCTTCTTGTTTATTTTCAGCCTGGCATCGGAGGCAAGCGTCTGAAAAACAACCAAAGCTGAGTAAATGCAGTCATTGCTGTGGCTAGCTAGTCTAAGCTAGGCTAAGCTAGGCTAAGCTAACCAAGCTGTCACTTTACAACCTACCCATGACTTGAACTCGACAAATGGCACACGTATCGCACTCCACGTCCCAGCTCCACATGGCCACAGCATTCCACTTCTTCAGAGAAAACATCTTGTCTCCGCTGGACTTTGAGCCTGAGGAGGTGTTGTGTGAGAGGACTAGCCCCGGCTCGTCACTGTCATCCATCTCTGGACCTCGGTACAGTCTGCGAGCCAGTGTTAGCGCTAGTCAAGCTAAAGCTAAAGCTAAACAAAATGGAGCTTAAGCTAACAGCTACTGCTAACCTGCCTGTGCTGCTTCTGTGCAAGTCCGGATACACTGCCTGCTGCTGCCGATAGAGGGCAGCATTGGCGTTTTGTTTTCATTCCAGTCAGGCGTAAAGCTGGGATATCTAACTTTTTAACTATAAAAATAACTGTAACTACAAACATAACTGTCATAAAATTCATCATCTACCTTAGGGCCTTTATCCTCACCGCTGTCAGACTGTACAACAAGTCACTTTAAGTCACTGCACTATGACTGATAAGAAACCTGCACTACTATTGACACTTCTTTCTAATCGCCACTTTTTGTACATAATATGTCCTGCATGTTGCACATTTCTTACTTTTTGCACAATTCTTGAGTGTTCCTATCCTTGCCAATGTGACATGTAAATTTCTCCTGTGTGAGATTAATAAAGTAGCTACATCTTATCTTATCTAGTTGGCTTTCATAACAGTTTCATTAATCATTAGTTTATATGCATGATTATTTTGGATTATGTTTGGACCAGCTTTTTTCAGACAGAAAAGTGCAAAATTTTGTTTCTATTATACTTTCTGTTGGGACAAACAACATGTGTTATTTTACCCCAGGGATCCTATTTATGCCAATTGTAAATTTCTCCTCTGTGAGATAAATAAAGCACATCTTATCTTAAAATGTGACCTTAAAAAAGGGTTATTAAGGCATTCTAGCTTAATGCAGATATAACCTTTGCCATTTACAAAATTATAAAAGCCATTATTTTAAGACTAAAATATGACTAACCCACTGATTTGGAATAATGAACTAGAGAAAAAAATATCATCAAGGTTTATTGGGAATTCCTTCACTATGAATATGCAAAGATAACAGCTATAAATAAAAACTTAACTAACACAATGGAAAAGGCTATACAATCTACCTCTGTATGAACAAATAGAGAGAGAACTAGAATTTACTCACTCGTTTGTATTTTGTCTGTGTGTTTTTTAGTTTTAGATTCTGTGTATTGAAATAACAATATGCACAATATTGAGAAGAACATGGTTTATATTTCTCCTGAATGCACCGATGGAGGGAGACTGATGTGGTGGAGCAGAGCTGAAGACACTGCGTCATGTGACCAAGACATAGACCCCGCACTTCAGAGAGAAGTAAAAGTTCATTGTGTTTGGATATGAGATGACTGCAACAATCCCAGCAACACGGAGCGGAGACAAACTGGATCCAAAAGGCAAAGCAACAGGTAAATACATGACATTACTATTTATTTGTGGGATGATAAGAGACATGTTTACTGAGAGAGTGCATTATTTGTTCCTCTTTTTGAAATGATGTTTTCTCATTTTCTGCTTTGAATTGAGCATTGAATATTGACCTAATTTACGATTTAATTTAATTTATATTTGTATAGTGTCATACATTTTATGCAAACTTGGTATTTGTAATGTTTATTTGTAATGTTTATTTATATAGACCGCCTTTTCACTGCACATCGGAGTCTCAAAGCGGTTTACAATTGTGAATTTTGCTAGTGGGGTTGCCAGTACAGGAGGCACATGCCAGACCTATTGTACATATTTTTAGTGGTAGGGGAAACCTACGCAGACACGGGGAGAACATGCAAACTCCACTCAGAAAGGCCCTGGTCCAACCGGGATTCAAACCCAGGACCTTCTTGCTGAGAGGCGAGAGTGCTATCCACTCAGCCACCGTGCCGCCTATTTACCCACTCAGGGTTTCCTTTAATCTGTTAATGTAACTTACTTGTATTTATTTCTCCAAATCTTTTTTATTTCTGATTTGCTTTTAAAACAAATTATTTATTATTAGTCATGTTCACTTAACTTGTGCCGTGTGCTTCTTTCCTACTGTTCTATAACTTGTGATGCAACACTGAAATGTTCCCCACTGTGGGACGAATAAAGGATCTCTTAATCTTAATCTTAATCATAAATTTGGCCAAAACTGGACTCCCAAAAAAGTAATATTATTAAAGTGCCCAAACGTACATTACAAATATTATCTGAACTAATTACTCTTAAACTGTTAAATAATTAGTTAAATACAATGACTATCTTTTAGGATGTTATTTTACCCCCAGTGTTTTCTGTTTTCTCCCCTGAGAGTCTGGTCCCCCACTATGAGAACCCCCAGTCTTTAAACAGTTAAACATTCTGTAAATGAAATTGGGAAATGTTGAAAGATCTATGACATTTTAATTAATTATTTACTGAAATTCCAAAAAATGTTGGTTGGCAGAGCTGATGGTGAGACTCCGGCGAGTTCTGTGGTTGGTTCTGAGCATGCTCAGTCTGTCCCTGCTGCTTGTTGCTCTGGGGATATACACCAACACACTCACCGAGACAGTGACAGTATCTGGCTTCTCTTCAGGGATTATTGTAAGTACTGCAATTTCTAAGACCATAACGATACACAACAATACAATAAATAATACAATTGTTAAAGCTAAAGTGGTATGGGTTCTGTTGTATGTTGTAACTTCCACACAGTTAAAGTCATTGTTCCACTGCGTTTGGTGCCAACAGCAAACATTGAGTTGTAAATTTCTCCTGTGTGAGATCAATAAAGTCTATCTTTTCTCTTCTTATCTAGTCATTCCTTTGACTAATTTGATGATGATCTGGAGACTTTGAAGAGAAAGAATCATCAATAACAACAATTATATTAGGATTATAGGCTCAGGCATGGGGGAGATATAAAATATACAGTATTTACGTCCACCACATTATCATTGTGAATCCCAGGAAACTGAGAGACTGTCTTGATCTTCCCCCATTCCCTGTTTTATGTTTTTTAAGGTTGTCAAAAATCAACAAAAACTAGAGGAAACTCAAGACGCTGTAGTTTGGTTATGATCTAAGAACGCTTAATTTTTGGCCCAAAGTGTAAAAAAACAATAAGAATAGCAAGTAACAACACCCAGCCAAGCCAAGTCTTATTTGGAGATAAAAAAACAAAAACAAAGTATAGTTAACTGTCTTTTGACGCAACATTTCAAACCCCAGTCCCCTTAAGGACCTCTGCATGTCCCTGCATAGAACTTGTATGAAAAAGAATCTCTAAGACCTGTATCTGAAAGGCTTTAGTCTCGCACCCACAGCCAACAACACTTGCATCACACTTTTTTTGATGTACAGAAGTCGTTTTACGAGTTCGTCTTTATGCAAGTCTGCTGTGTATAAAATTGATAGTCGCTCAGAGATCATCAGGAAAGGGTTTAGTGTGTGGGATTTGTCTAGTTATCACTCTTCTTAAACTTTCATATGAGTACAAAAGTCACAGTAAGTATGGGGCTAGTGGCTAATTGCTAACACATCAATAGAATTACAAACTTTACAAACACAGAATCCATAAATCTCATTGTAATTCTGTTGTCTTTTAAATTTGAGATCATTACTTTCTCTGGAGGAGTTTCAACAGTGAAGGGTCAATTGCTGAGTAAATACTTGTGCTTTGTTTTGAATCACACTTGAGTTGTGTTGTGCTGCAGCTCACCCTGGGATGCTTCCTGGGGCTTTTGGGGCTTGGCCTAGAGGAGAACCGCAGGCATCTGGTATATCTTTCTATGTTTCCTTCATCTGTTCTTCTGACACACACACCTACATCCACTAGACTGCGTTTGCTTGTGTTATTCTTATGCACACCCAGTTCTGATCGAGCAAAACCCGCTGCTCTGTGATAATACCCAAAGTCTTCATTGTTTTGATATTTAACCAATCTATTGAATTGATCATGTGAAACAAAATATGGACTAATGCTCTTATGTGTTTCTTATTATTGCACTTAACGTATTTGATTCTCTGATCTGTTTTTGGTACATCAACAACCTTGTGAAGTCCAGGACGATTTAGGGCTATCCAAAATGAGATTGTGTTGAAATTGAATCCAATCTGTTGCACAGTTTTGTACGGCTCACCAGGAGATAGATTTATGTCCGGAGAGGGTTGCGACATTAAAGGGTGAATGATGGTTTTAGTGCTATTTATGTTTTCACTGTGTTTCACCTATGTTCCCGTGCCAAAATATTTATTTTTGTCCATGGTTATAAAAATAGTGTTTTTCAAATGGGCCATAATGAAATATTTTTTCTGTCTTTTGTCTGTAGATAAATTCTTCCATGGTTTTCTTCAGTTTTGGAATCATCACGTCTGCTTTCTGCCTGATGATAGATGGAGCCATAGCCTTTAACATGGTGAGTATATACAGTATCTCCTGCATTTAAAAAAGGATTTAGGCAGCTCAAAAACACATTGGTGAGAAATTGGTGATTCTCCTTCCCATGTATTTCTCACAGGTTGTAGCTTTGTGATCTGTGAAAAAATAAATGTTGTGAATCACAAGCTGTGAAAGATATCCGGTGAAAAGGCTCCGGGACTTTAGCGGGCCAGTTTTTATTGGCCTCATACTTCCACCTTTAGAACATTGTGGATCTTTTACACTATAAAATGGTTGGAGGCATCACTAAAGCAATACAGAGCTGGGTTGACATGGCAAACTAAAATATTGTTTTTTTCCCTCCTTTGATTGATTGCGATTTTAAATGGATCTAAATGAAGTAAACCAAGACTGCTTAATGAAAGACGCTCCTAAAGGCTCGGTTTCATTGTTTTGAAGTAGTTTCCATATTTTTTGAGTTTCTAATCCATTTTCAATTCCCCCAAATTGATCGTAAAAGCATTGCGCAAAATGCTGACATCGGAAATATAATTCCTATTTTCCAAGTTGTGCCTTCCATGGAAACACAATGTTTTTTGTCCTTGTTGTTTACACACTCTATAAACGACAGCAGCTCAGAGAGGCAGAGGCGGAACCAGAGGAGAAACTCACATTATATACATGTTTATTGTTGTCATCTTATGAGATGTTTTCTGCTGCCTCTGATGCCCAGACAAATGCAAGTAAGAAAAGTAAGTCATTCGTATAGCGCCAGAGTCACAAAGCGTTTTATAATTGGTGTGGCATTTGTCTCTCACTCCACACAGAGATGGGAGTGAGGTCGCCGTACGCGCTTATTGTACATGTTTTTAGTGATAGGGGAAACTGGAGCATCCGCAGACACAGGGAGAACATGCAAACTCCACGCTCACTCATTCTTGCTGAGAAGCGAGAGTGCTTTCCACTCGCCCAAATGTCTTCATCTGGAAATAATAAAGACTTATCTTTCCCTTATCCTGAGCGCAATTTCACAATCATGACATTTTTTAAAGCTGCTTGCCCAGCCCTGCATTGACCTTACACTAATAAATAAAAATGACACCACTGGATAAGCTTTGGAAATGAGACTATCATACAAAAGTTAATTTATTTCTGCAATTCAACTGAAATTTCAACTTTCAATAAGAAACCAAGATATGATATTGACTCATCAATCATTCTCACAGAAACCAAGCCTTTGTTTGTTATTATGTTGATGATTACGGTTCACAGTCCATTTTCAAAATATTTGGGTTTTTACAACATAACAACAAAAAAGGCTCATATTCTAGTTTCACATTGTAAGTAGAAGACAGAATATAAATTGTTTCACCTGTATTACACAAATGTTATGACATTTTAAATTGCAAATTTTAAATCTAATGACATATCCTCTCACTGGAAAAGTCCGAAGCCATGATTTGAATCTACCTTGAATATACTTTTACTATCACAGTGAAACCACTGATTGTTTACTTTGTTATGATCTCTTTTCACTTGTCTGAAAATACTCCCAAATGTAAATCACACACATACTTAACATAATTTACTTCACATGACTATGCTGCTATGAAATATAACTCTCTTAAAGAGTCCCATGTTATCATCAAACCTGTGAACAGCCCATTCACTCTATATGTATGATTTATAAACCAGTCAAAGTTTGAGTCTAGATATAAGTATTAATATAATTTATAATTTTCCAATGCAGGATATGCGCCCGTTAAAAGCTGGGCGATGTCAGTTCTACAGCAGTGGGAGTGGTTTTCTGTATGAGCACTACTACACCACAGTAAGTACAACACAAGCTTTAAGATCTCTCTGAATCTGATGAATTTTGGTACAATTCCGTTTGTCTGTTTAGGTTTCATGTTGGACTATAGAGGAATCGTGTAACATAACTGTGAGAAGTGGGACCTGTTATTGCTGTGACCTGTACAACTGTGCTAAGTAAGACCAATACGTACATGTGGTTGTCTGTCAATGGAATCAAAACTATTATTGTTTTTATGTGACTTAAGTGGAGCATACCTGAACCACTACTATGAGTTTGTGGGAGTCCAAAGCTGCCATGATGTTTTTATCTTGCACTTCCTCATATGGAGTCTGACGGGCCTGAACCTCGTGGTCTTCTTCATGGGCATCCTGACCACCGCAGTGCTGGGGAGCATCAAGGGAAAGGTACGATGCATTTGAGAATGTATGTCACAGGTTAGTCCACCGAGGGAGCGCAAGGAATACAAATACTGGTTTTAGAGGGTCTCTGTTCTGACCCTCGCTCTCAGTGTGGTGCTGTTGCAATAACACTTCAGACATTCAAGAATCCGTCTTTATTTAATTGCCACATCAGCGCAATGTGGACAAGTGTGAGATGTGTCTTTCCCATAGACTTTAAATAACGGACGTAGTTATCTCCGCCGTTCAAACAAATGGGCCAAAAATTGTGCTCTACTGGAGCTATCCAAAATGGCCGCGAGTGGTCCCACCCACAAGAAAATTGTGAAAAAACGCTTCTGCACATGCGTCAGCCGGCGCAAGCTCCATTCATTTAACGAGAGCCTTCAAAAAATTCATAGCAAGTAAACTAGACTGGTCCAAAAAAAATCCACCCCCCTCAGCATTGACACACATGTGGAACGGAGCTTTGGGCCAAGAGCCAACTTTTGGACCATCCTGTAAAGACGTTTTCGAGAGGTCAGCTATTGCTATATGTTAGCATTGGCTAATTCTTATTCCGGGTCCACCCCCATCGACCCGGGGTGGTATTGCAAGCATGTCAGCGCACGTCATTTTGGACACTTTTGAGCCGGGACCTGCCCCCGCTGGTCTTTCACTAAGCAACACGATCCGGACTTGAGCTGTTAGCTACAGTAGCAGAGCGTAAACAGGAAGAGAAGCGGAAACCAGGACAACGAGGTAGTCGCTGGAGTTAGTATTAGCGCCACCAGCTGGACCGAGTGTTGTACTACACAGTGGCTCTGGCACATTTGCGAATACACGTTCATGTAACCGCGGGCCCTTTTCACACCCCTGTGGGGACGACCCGGGCCACTTGGCCTTGTTCGTTTGTAAAAACCTATGTGACAGTGCCCTAAAAAGGTAAAAGATAAATCAGCTGGATGAACAGACTTTTCATTTTCCATATCCCCTTCTGACCAGAGTGAAGGGAGGGGGGTGTAGCCACAGCCATAACATATACGTTTCTTTTATAGTTTTTGTTTTATGATAAAAACTGTTTTTCCAACATGATTCAAAAATGACCCTAGATTTAATTTGATGAGAAGTTTCAGCTCAGGCCTTTTTGTCATATCTGTGGTCAAACATAACACGTTCATACCTAATATGCAGTTATCTGATGGAGACACAGACACGTGTGGTTACAAAGACTTGAGCTGATATAAGCAGAACTATGTCAACCCTCAATTCAGGAGATTCCTTAATAATTGTATCATTACCTTCTAAATTACATTACGGCAGCCCCCCCCTCCCCAATAGATTCAGTAGATCAGCAGCATCAGCAGCACGAGTTGTTTCACTACAGTTCCAGAGCTGTCACTCCTTATATTCCCCTTGTGCTATATTCCACACTTTATCGCATACAACGAAGAAAATCAGCAAACACTTTGTATAGTTTATAGATGTTCAGGCTGCAGTGGTTATGGGTTGCTCTGTGAACGGACCACCCAAATCCTGACCGCAACACAACACAAGCCAATATTATGAAGCCATGATGGGGGATAGCACACTAGTCTATGGTTTGATGTATTGTCTCTGTAGGGAAATGTTTGGTCTGCATTTGTCTCATCGTGCAATACCACGAGGGCCTCACTCAGGAGCTGTGGTCACAAAAGTGCAGCCCTCAGGAATCAATCTCCAGATGTTGATCCTCAGCTTCGTACTTGTATTTTGACTTGTATTTTAATCAAATGTATTTTTACTTGTGATGGAAGGCGACCTTGAGGATCCAGAAAGGCGCCTTACAAATAAGATGTATTCCTATTTCTATTATTATTATTATTATTATTATTATGATTATCTTTGGTCAGGACCAAAGCTGAAGGATTATACTTAGTGTTTATGTTTTTAGTGGTAGGGGAAACTGGAGCAAGCAGCAGAAACCTACGCAGACATGGGGAGAACATGCAAACTTCACTTAGAAAAACCTCTATTCTGATCGGGATTCCAACCTAGGACTTGGCTGAGCTTCTTTTTCAAGTTGTGTATAGTACAAAATACTGCTAATATCTAATATGACTGAACGTGCGGTATCTTGTAGCCTGGCCTCATGCTTCTTTGTTAGGATATTTGCATTTATTTTCAGAAAAAGATCACAGAACTCACACACACACACACAGGGCAGAAAAAACTAATCTCTAAAACACAAAATAAAACTCAACATTGTCTTCAGTTTAAAATAGTGTCTTCAAGATGGTTTTGAATCCGTCCTTTGCACCGTGGACTCTCTCTGTGGACAGCTCCAAACAGGAAATGTCAACAAATGTCGTAATCTACTGTCTGCGAGACACTGAGTTTTTGGCAGCCGTAAGCCCCGCCAGGAGAACCCTTTGTTTAGGTCTGAGTCATCCCAAAGAAAGACCAGGGGAAGGTAGGGAACCAGGAATGACAGCAGGACAGAGAGGCTGCCAGCCACGATCTCCCAGAACAGAGCCACCCCTGGACCATGTGTGAATCTGAGTGTCCCAACAGAGCCACCGTGGCACAAAGTTGGATTTCACTTCATACATTAAAAGTTTTGTGTGAATCTGCTGTTGGTCCGGATTGTTACAGCACAGTGTCCCACGTAAAGAGCCAAGGAAAGTCCATAGGTGGAATCGTAAAAACAGCTCCATTTCAGCTCCAAATGGCAATGATACACACTGTACAAGTTAAGCTCAGACAATATTGTTCAAAAGTATATTTCTGGATTTCAACTTCAAATCTGAATTTGAATTTGAAATCTATATTTTCTATAGACTCATCATGCAAAGTGACATATGCCAAATTATCAAAATATTCTTTATTGTTAAGATGTTTTATGTTTTGTTGTGAGGCATAAGGAGCAGTATGTAAAAATCTGGCCAAAAGTGGTACTGCAGCCTCTCCCACTCTCTCTGACTCAGGTTGCCAGATATGCAGACGAATCCAGCTGGGACCATAACAGCTGAATAGACAAGAGTTTTATCAACAACACATTTTTAACCAACACCTTTTTCACAAAGATAGAAATCCTCTTTTATTTCTTGTTTTGTCTTTAATGATTTGTGAATCATAACGAGACCTTCATAGTTCTGCGGCACATGGTACTTTACCAGTGAGATTAGCTCAACCTGCGAGTTCTGGCAACCCGGATCACAGACTTTCTGATTGGTAAATGGTGGAGGGCGGGACATCGACATGAAAACAATAACAAGATTTAGGGGCTGGAAAAGTAATTTTGAAATTAGAATATCTTTGAACTACTTTTATCAGTTAAAGAATTATTAGAAAAGAGCATGTTTCATTAATGCCTTTTGACAGATTAGGGCCATTTAATGATGACTTGAAATTAAAATCTTACATATTGTTACTTTAAGCCTTTGTAGATCGATTTGCAGAAGTAAAAGTTCAATGTTCTGAATTTTCCGAGTTTTTCCTGTAATACTTTTGTGAATTTCACTCTTTAAAACCTTATGCACCAAGTACCAACTTTACCAAAGAGTTGTTAGAGAGTAGGAGATCCAGAATTGAAAGTAAAAGAAAAAAGCCAAGCTGTAAAATTCCCTAAATGCAAAGGTTTTCAAATCCAAATCTGGCTTCATGTTGTGTCCACAGTCTTATCAGGTCATCTACCTTATCACTGTATCGGAATGTGAAGAGGCCATATGCTCAACAAATATTTACTGAACCATAAAAGAGGGAGCACGCCCAGCAGGACCACCCCGTGTGCCGTCACCTCCCCATCTTCAGCTCTCTAACTGTGTGTTTGTGTTTCAGAGGGGTCCTGGCCCGGGGTCCGAGTCCTGTGGGAGTGGACTGTCTTCTCCCACTGCTCCTCTGCTGATGGATGCCAGCGTCCACTCTGCCTCTCAGCTCCACCCAGTCAGTGTCCAGTTCACACATCTGTTGCATGATACTTTTATGTGCGATATTAAGAGGACTTTTTTTAATCAATTCAAATGATATAAATCACAAACTGTGGAAAAGGTCAGCGATGCACATTATTCTGGAATCATTCTGGAATTCATGGATAAAGACGCGAGATGGAGAATGCATGATGTTATTGTTCGGATGATATCTACCAATGTTGTTACAGAGGTGGCATCAGTAGTAGTACAAGTAGTAGTAGTAGTAGTAGTAGTAGTAGTAGTAGGAATAGTAGTAGTAGGAGTATGAGTAGTAGTAGTAGCAGTAGAAGTAGAACTAGTAGCAGTATTAGAAGTAGTAGTAGTAGTAGCAGCAGCAAAGGTTACACATATAGAATTAGAAGTACTGTAGTTGTAGCAGTAGGAGAAAGAGTAGTAGTAGAAGAAGTAATATAAGTAGTAGTAGTAGTAGTAGTAGTAGGAGTAGCAGTAACAGTTGTAGAGGTAGGAGAAGGAGTATGAGTAGTAGTTGTAGCAGTAGAAGTAGAACTAGTAGCAGTTTTAGTAGTAGTTGCAGCAACAGTAACAGTCAGTAAGGCAAGGCAAGGCAAGTTTATTTGTATAAAACAATTACATACACAAGGCAACTCAAAGTGCTGAACAAAATAAGAAAGCATTAAAATCATAAATATTCACAGAACATTAAAAAGAAAGATAAAAATATAAAATCCCTCAGTTGTATGCACAGCTAAACAGAACCGTTTTTAACCTGGTTTTAAACATTGTCAGAGAGGAGGCCTGTCTCACATCTTCAGGGAGACTGTTCCAGATTTTAGCAGCATGAATCTGAAAAGCAGCCTCCCCATGATTGGTTCTCACTCTGGGCACCAGCAAGAGTCCAGTCCCTGTGCTCCTCAGAGTCCGGGCTGGTTCATATGGGACTAACATGTCACTAATATATTTTGGTGCGAGGCTATGGAGAGACTTGTAACAAGCAGAGCTGTTTTAAAGTCTATTCTCTGAGCCACAGGAAGCCAGTGCAGAGACCTGAGAACTGGACTAATGTGGTCGTACTTCCTGGTTCTAGTCAGGACTAATATGGTCGTACTTCCTGGTTCTAGTCAGGACTCGAGCTGCTGCATTTTGAATGTACTGCAGCTGTTTTACAGCCTGTTTGGACAGACCTGTGAGCAGGCCATTGCAGTAGTCTAACCTACTGGAGACAAATGCATGGATAAGAATCTCCAAGTCTGCTTTAGACACTATGTTTTTGATCCTGGCAATGTTTTTTAGATGGTAAAAAGCTGCTGATGTTACTGATTTGATGTGGCTATTAAAATTTGAGTCTGAGTCCAGAATTACCCCTAGATTATTCAAATAATAAAATCCCTCAGTTGCATGCACAGCTAAACTAAAACAGCTAAAGTAGTAGTAGAAGTATGAAAAGGAGTAGTGGCGGTAGTACTAAGTAACTGTCCCAACTGAGCCACCGTGGCACAAAGTACTACTAAGTAAAACTAAGTGAAAACTGTTCAATTGAAGGGATGATTTGAAAAACAATTTTCCACGTTTGAGTATTCTACTGAAATAAAACCTCACATTTACATCCACGTCACATTCTCACCGCTATAAAGTTGAAAAATATTTGAATGGAACTTGAATACTTAGAATACTTCCATTTGGTGACTGTGTAAAAGCAAATACAATACAAAGTCAAGGCCCGGGGTCCAGATCTGGCCCGCAAATGATTTATCTTGGCCCCTGGGATGATATTTTATTAGTATTAGAACCGGTCCGCACAGAGACATTATGAAAAAACTGGATTATTCATTTAATATTCAGGACTTGTGCTTTCTCTTTGAAGGAAGATTGTTTTTGTCTGTTGTCTGTTGAAAACTGTATCCACTTGTAATGACTGACAGAGCCTTACAAAAATATGGGATTTTTGATTTAAACATTAAATAAAATATGGTTCACTGTGTTAGGCCTGGGTTCAATTATATGTGATGATTTTAATTTGTTCTAATACACATTGAACTAGTCCGGCCCTCGGCTTGTGGCAAATTTGGTTTTTTGGCCTCTGATGTATTGGACTTTGACATCCCTGCCCTAACTGGACCTCTTGTTCTGCCTCTTGTTTCAGCACGCCTCTGTATACATCCCTTCTTCCTCCCCTCCTCCATCATCATCATCATCTACATCAGTCCCACATGTCTCCAGCTTGTCCCAGCGTTTTCCACTGGGGTCGTCTCTCGGGGGCCCCCTCCCGTTCGCCCCCCTGTCCTTCTCAGCCTGAGCCCACAGAGCCATATGTGGTGGACTGCTTGGGTTTAACTGCATGTATCTTTCACCTCAGTATTCACTTTAACCCTGTTTATATTCCTGGTCACAGACTTTATGGACGTACAGAAAATAAAAGTGTAATCGTTTCCCGCTTTTATGATTGAATCTGGAATCGAATGACGCTACGGCCGCATTTTTTCTTCCCAGTTTTGCTCAGACCACATTAGCGGTGGTGTTTCAGAATGCACATGGCAAAGATGGAGGCAGGTCTGGCACTACTTTATTGGCAGACTCACGTTTCCCCTCATAAAACTCTCTAGTAAACAACTTGAGGAAATGATCACAATGCAAGATTTATATTTTTTGATTGAGTAAATGGATTTTACGTTGTGCTATCGTTTTGATTTGTTCTATGTTGTGTAGTTTTGCTGCTGATGACAAGCTAGTTTACGATATCATCTCTATGTTTGCAGCTGATATATTGAACCTTCTGCCCTAATACAAGTCCAACAGCTTTTGATCAGGTCTGAAATATCTATTGGCTTACACACAACAGAATGTATGCAATTTTATAACTTCAAGCCCAGAAGTAGGCCTAGTTTAAGCCTCCTAAATGGATAATATATTACTTTCAACATTGCAAAATAGATCAAATATGTCTGTTGTGTCTTTTCCATCTGTAAGGCTTTAACGTGCTCTCTGGCTTGGCTAATGTGCAAACTGGAAACATGTAAACAAGCGCTCTTTGAAAGTCCACACAAACTGAAATAAATCCGGGTTTTATGTGTTGACAATGTGTGCGTCCAGTGAGAAGAAAGAGGTTGTAATGAGGTTTGTGATGAGTGACCGCTGCAGAGGCCTGCTGCTCTCTCTGCTCTGAGTCTTATTTAAAGCTGGAGTACCTAACTTTTTCTCTCTCACAAATACTTGCTCAATTTATCCCAACAGAATGGGTCTTATTTAAATACCATGTGTCCATCTTTTAGGGGCAACAGAGGCTTAATTGGTAGAGTAATAGCTTTTGAGCCCGAAGGTCGTGGGTTCAATTCCACCACGAGACTTTCCCCACTGACTCCCACTGATGGCTGCTCTGTCAGTGACAAAACAGCCTTGAAGTTTCACTGGGGGTTTCAGGCAAAGTGGGGTCTTGCCCAAAGACACAACAACAGCAGACGTTGGTGGAGGCCTTGTGATGGGCTCGGACCCATTGCAATCAAAGGCCAATGCTCTACCAACTGAGCCAATTAATATTTTCATTATTTTAGGATATAAGTTATTTTTGAAAGTCATAAATACAGGGATCCTGTTGTTAGCCAATGCATCCCAGTCCTTCATTACCAATCCAAAGTGGTTAGCCAAAGCTTCTAAATTAATTAATCCCGGTCTAAAGTGATTGGCAATGCCTCTAAATTCAGAGGTACAATAGCGTGCATTCTGCTACTTGTTTAATTGAGTTTCTTACACCTCTGCTCGGCTTTAATGACTAGAATGAGGACCATCTGTTTGCCTCTCTCACACTCAGTCAGAGGAAACATGCTTGTGGCTCCTGACTGTGACACGTCCAGACCACAGAGAGAGGACCCAAAGTTCTCACAACACTAGGAAACAAGGGCAGGTAATCCACACGTGCACACTCTTTACAAAGTCTTCCTCAAGGCCATGCTGTTTAACTGATAGATTGTGGTTCACAGATTTTACTTTCCAACTTTCTATCTCCGAGGTATTGGCCCTAATCTTTCTATTAAACTTTAATATCCATAATTGTGTAAGGAAGCGTCAGGCCACACCAAACCAGGAAATGGAAGTGCACAAAACGACTGTCTGACCCCCGGGAGCCAAAACTGCTTAATATACGTGTTTCCAGCAGCATAAATCCGGCCCCGTCACGAGTAATATCATTTGTACTTTACTCACAGACATTATACAGAAAGACTACTTCATAATTGGACTGAGTAAAACGGCGTGGAATAGTTTATAGGGCCATGGTGACATTATGAATCTGCCTAAAGTTGTATATTTTTCTCGGCAAAAACATTCACTGACAAAGATAACAGTTGGAGAAATAGCTTAGAATCTAGTCTAATCTACAAATTATAATTGATATGAAAGACTTCTATATTTTTATTGTGATAATTTTCCTCCCGTGTCATTAGAAAGGTTGCATCCAAAGACAAATTAGACAATCCGAAAGCGTTGGGATTAGGGTCAAATATTCACTTTGTGGTCTTGTCTATTATTAAATTATTATATTTTAGTATGTGTCTGGTGTGTGTGGATGGTTGCTGTACTATTAGGCGCACCTGCACTTAAACCACATTAGCTACATTTGGAAAGAACGTATATATTCAATTTCTGTCCCCATATAAGCCGCACTTGAGTATAAGCCGCAGGTTTTCATGTTGTAATGTAACACTTAACCCAAAGCTGATGGAGTCAAACAAAGATCACAGACTGTTTTTAACTGCAGGTCTGACGGGATCTGGTTTTCACATGCAGGTTTGGCCACACATAGAGCACCCTGAACTCTAAAGAGCTTAACTTTAACTTTTAGCCTCAGTGTCAGGACTCATTCACCAAATTGTTTTGACGTTAAACGTGCCACCTATAGCTCTCAAAACTGGATGGAGTCAAAATAAGTAGTTAAACGTTACTCTGACAGCCAAAAAGACGTAAAAACAAGTCCCATTCATGATTTTTTTTTAGCTCTCTCCTATTTACATGAACATAAACCACCTGTTTGCTTGGAACAAAATCCTGCAGCCAGCGGACCCTTTGCTGAGTTGACACACCAGCTCGAGAACAATAAAAATACATTTGGACTCTTACCTATAGGTCGCAGAGTAACTTGGAAAAAGTAGCAGCTTATAGTTCAGCAATAACGGTAAATGCCTCAGTTCTGTTCCATACATTAAACATTATTATCATTCAATTCAATTATATTTTATTTTTTCATAGCCCTTTTTCTCCTGTTTCCTCCACCACCCAAAAAATGTACAGTAGGCAAAATCCTCCAGTTCTGGTCCTGACCAATCCGAGCATTAACCTCTGGAGATGGGTCCGGCTTCGAGGCATGCAAGGATGGGTCAAACACAGAGACCTGATTTTCTTGCGGGGACAATAAAATACTTAATATTAATCTTGAAGTGCTTTACCCTCAGTACATTACAGAGCTCCAAAAGAACCGCGCCCTGAGGTCCATCTCCGGCTTGTGGTTCCTAGAGCAAACCAGAGAACCAGACCTAACCCTACTTAGTCCAAACTTATTTTTGATTTTACTTGGATTTGTGGTTTCACTGCGACTTTAATTCTATGTTTTGCTTTCTACTCATTTACTGATGGAGCTAATTTGTACTGTGTTGGTTTATTGTTTTTATGGTCTCGTGTGCAGCACTTTGGAAACATCTTGTTGTTTAAAAGTGCTAAATAAAGTGGATTTAATTAGATGTATAAACAAAAGGGACTTGTTTAGATGCATTGCTCGCCCACTACAGATGGATTTGACACATCGACATTCAAGTTGTACGTTTTCGTTTGCAGCCTTGGTGAAAACAAAGTGCTAAACAAAGTGCCAAACTTGGGTTAAAACAGCAGGAATGCAGACTGTGTTGGACTCCTGTGGCATAAAAACAACTCTACATGAGAAACGTACTGATATTGAGCCTATGTCCAAAAGAAACACTATAAATACATGTTTTTCATTGCATACAAATAGAAATATAGATATAGGCCTTGAACTCTCTTCAAAATCCCATTTATTTTTGAAGTCCAGTAAAGAGTTATTCACAAAAGACTCATTCATAAGTGGGACCTGTTGACATGACGCTGCTCATCACACAATCTGTTCTTGTGTTGCTGTTGGACACGTTTTCTTCCTTTAGGGATAAGGCCGAACATACAACTCTCCGTCATGTGTGCCAGTTTCTCAAACGCAAAGTTCCGGATGTTTTTATCATGAACTTGATGAACCAAATTATGTTCATTTGAAGAAGCGTTTCCTTCCTGTGAGGCCGCTGTGTTGGTAGATTTGAACAGACGTCTTTGACATTTGCACAGAGGATACAGAGAGGAGCTTCAATGTAAACTAAGTAAATAAGAATGAATTTGGGTGCATTCGATGTGATCAAGTGTGAAATAGAATCTGTTTTATATTATTTCTATTTTAACTTTTGACACTTGTGATATTTTTTTACATTTCCCCATCTACTCCTGTTTTAATATTATTATTTTTATTACATTTGAGCAACCATGTCCAAATATTTGACCTTGTGGCTCAGTAGGTTTTGGGACTAAAGGTGATATGACAGTGTAAACATTTAACGAAATAAAAGTTAAGTTCCCAATTGGTATTCTATATTTATTTATATGGTATGTAATATTTCATTTGATCATTTTACATTTACCTGTGCTCAGATTAACAGGTCACAGGTTGAAAATTAAAAGAAGTTTTTCTAAATTAAAAATACAATGGACATGTCATAATATGTAAATTTTGAAGCAGATTATCCAATCAGAGAGCAGAATAGATAAGATACTTTATTGATCCCCGTAGGAGAAATTCAGGTGTCCAGCAGGCTCTCATTGAGTTGCAAATGTTGTGAAATGTAACTGGCCCTCTCTTTTTATTAAAACAATATTCACAAACCAAAAAAAAGCACCTCACATTTATGTAAATCAAAGCAGTGGTCATACATGAATATTTGAACCATTTCTGGTGGGTGTATTTTCTTATGAGTGGTCTCTGGTTTTAATGTGAGATCAAGAAATAGACTCAAGCAACTGACTGGCAACTGGTTTAATGTCAACAGGACAAAGTGACAAACAAGTGGAAAACAAACCATAAAAAAAACAAGATTTATACAATCGAAAAAAACAAAACATTTGTTTGTGATTTTTCTGTGTGGAAATTTAAAAATCCCTTAGATTTGTTCATGCATTTGTTTATGTACTGCAAAACTGGCTTAAACTAGTCCTTATTGAACTGGCACGAAGCACGAGCGCTGGTCTGAGTGATGTCTGTAAACACGACGCTGATGCTGGACTGGCTTTTGGATTTGTCAGTAGGAAACACTTCAAGTTGGAACAAACAACTTGAAATACTGAATAATACTCGATGCGTTTTCGTAGGGCCATTTAATGAGACAAAACATTCCATTTGCAACAGGCATGGACCTGATTGGCTTCTCTTCTGGTTTGATTTGGCAAAAATGAAATCCCAAACATAGGGAGTCTTTCCACTGGTCTCGTTTAACTGGTTCTAGATCCTTTTGAGTACCTGCTTGGCCCTGGTTCTATCCAGGCCGAGCTGGTACTAATATGGTCTAACTGTACTGGTCCCAGATACTGCTTTGTTGTGGGTACGTTGCTAGGATACGGCATAATGGAAACAACCACAGAGGAAACAAGAACGTCATTGTCAAAACTGTGGCACTGCACATTCTTTATATAAAAGTCCTCCGTACGAAAAACTGTTGAATAAAACCGGTCACACGAACAGGAGGGCACAGGTCCCTTACATTATAGACTGGTCCATCCTTTGTCTCATTCGGGTCATCAGGTGTAATAAATAAGCCATCACTGTTCATTTACAGGCAACAGGGAAAATGTCATGACTGCAGTGAGATGGCGGCCGAGAATAAACTGGGATTCTGTACTAAACTTGTGCTGGTGTTTCCTTCTCAAAAATATATTCAGGATTATAAAATGAATGGTTGGTTCTGGCAGTATAGAGCGTAGATGTGGCTGAAATGAAATGTTAATATGTTTTAGGTTAGATGGCTGTCATTATGTGATCATGCTCTTCATGTTAGCACCGTCACTTGGGCCCCTGGATGTGTTTAATGCCTTCAACATGGCCGTCCACCTGAAGCAGACTCTCTCTCTCTCCCTGAACACATTCAACTTCACTTAAATGATATGTTAAATATACAAACATATGCAGATAGAGATTTGTCCATTTAAAACATCTGTCACAAAAATACAATAATTCTTTTTCCCTTTTCAAGTCAAATTTATGACATTTTCTTTGGTCGAGAAAAATATCCTTATATCTACAGGAAATAATTGTCATATTACTGAATGAACACGTACTGGAGATCATGGAACTGATCAAAGGGGGAGTTGATACTAAGTATCTAGTTATGTTCATTTGGAAAGATCCAAATATTTAAAGTGCTTTTGCATTATTCCCTCAGCATTTAATGTGAGAACAAAAAAAACATCCATCAAAGTAAGGCAGATTGGTCACTGTAAAATCTCAAACAGTAAGAGTATCTAAAGATGAGATATATATATATATATACATTCATTTGAACGGGAAAGACACTAAGGTCAAAAAGATTGTACAGGTCAAAAGTAGATGGCCCATCTCGCCTCTGGACAGACCATCCCGATAGGACTCTCTTTAGAGATCACAGGTATTCATAGAAAAGTGGATGAATAAAAAAAATAGCAGCCTATTCACACCATCTAATGATACCTTCTTCACACAGCTTTGGAGATGAAAAAGGGCATTGATGACATGTTATAAATAATTTGTACATAGACTCCCCTTGTAATGTGCCCATGATTCAGAATGGGGAAAAAGAAGCATATACCAAACCCTTCTGTTCCTCCGGATCCTGTGATGTCACAGGGTTCTTCACATTAGACTCTTGCTGGTCGTGGACTGGTCCTTCCACAGTTCATAACCTCTGACTCTGTGGTCCACTCCAGGATCCAGTGGATTTCTGCAGGTGCATGTTCTATATCATCTATGAGGTCTTTCCTACAATGGGATTGTTCCTAGAACAAAGAGCTTTCATTAGAATGATCTTTGAGGTCGTGTGTCGGTGTGAGCGGTGCACTTACAGACTGCCGTATCTGTGCGCGGTGACCCCCCGCTCATTGTGCTGCCGCTGCAGCTCCTCCATAGCATTGCGCAGCTGTTTGAGTGTCTGAAAGGTCTCTTTGGGTTCCTGAATGGTGAATTTGGAATACTCGTCCTGCTCCCGCTGGGGGCCCTGGTACACTGCCAAAGTGGCACAAGCATCTGCAAGAAAACACATGAATGAAAGTCGTGCAGAAATAGTTAGGATTACAGCACACTGAAGAAGACCAGCAGCCATGACAGAAAAAGCACTGAAGCCGTACAGTATTTGCACTACAGCACACAGAAACACTGACCTTGGAGTACTCACCCTCCATGTTTTGGAGCTTGGTGTCGTTTAAGGACAGAAGAGAGAAGATCCTCTCCGTTTCACGATCACAGTCAATATCCAGCTGCAGGTTCGCCAGCATTGTGCTGTAAGACATGGAACAGGACACAAAAATAAGCAAACGTTGATCTACAAATCCATGCCCAAAGCGTGGGGACTTGGTGGTTGTGGTCGAGGGACTCACATGGTGCAGGGTCTGCAGCCTGGAGCGCAGTTGTTTTGGCTCTTGCAGCACTGCCACACTCCCCCCGTGAACGTGGACGAATGGAAACTCTCCAGGCGCTCTTCATTGCAGCGGCTCACCTGGCCCAGCACCTCCAGCCACTCGCTGGCCTCCACACAGTTCCCTGCTTGTACGTACAGTGGCTTCTCTGAGTGCACCACCTGGAACATCTGCCACAGAGAAACGCTGTATGAAGGCCAAAGCTTTGATGTGCTGTATTTTCAGCACATCAATTATTCTAATACAACTCACTGGCACCACGACACAGAGACCAGGGAGCTCTACCTCCCTCCTGATTCTCACTTTGTACTCGCCACAATCATCTTTAAACCAACACCTTTCCTCTTATCAAACCACCTCATGCCATGTTTGTGAGATCAATGAAGTTTATCTTATCTTATATCTCTCATGTTGCCGGTCCCAGTATATTAGTAAAAACCTCTATTTAAAATCTATCTACCTATTTATGAGCTAAAGTATCTGGAACCTCTTGCTTACAGACTGTTTAGACTGTACTTCTCCCAAAACACATACTGTTGTGAAGTTAGGGAAGGATCAAACTGACAGTATTATGATCCTTCCTCTCGTGTTCCTGAATGACTGAAGAACGCTGTCCTCACTTACCTCATCTGCTTTACATTGATTTCCCGTAACAAGGTATTTACATTATAAATACAAACTAGTACATAGTAACATAAAACTGTGATTAACTCCATTCCTAAATGAAATAATGACTATTAACTGACCGCAGCAGCAGCACAGTCCACCCACAGCCGAACATGTGACAACAGAGTGTATTAGAAGAGAAGTGGGAATTTATGGAGACAGGACTTACATTTTTGCGGTTAAAGGCACTTTCATCCAGTTTCTCCACAGCCTGGATGTTTTTGACACTTATGATGCAGAGGGCCTCTTTCCCTGAAAGCACAAGTCTGTGTCAGAGCCACTCCAACAATAACACACCGCACTGGACTGAGCTGAGCTGAGCCGAGGCTCCCAGGAGCTGCCTCTCTCATGTAACTACGTCCAGGATACACCACAGTGAGTCCCATCCTAATGGATGATCTGAACTAGTGTTTATCGGCTGTTCTACTGTAAGATATTTGTTTCCTCATCTTTCTTTCTTTCTATGTAAACAACCTCCCAATAGTATTATAATCTGTAATTTAATTGAAGACTTGAGCTCATTGATTCAGCTGTGTATGAATTCAGGCCGTAAAAAGTGCTGAGTAGAAACTTTAGCGTGACGCGCGCTCTCCTCCAATCACAGAACGAGGCTGCGTCCACTAGCCTCTACAGCGCTGCTAAACACAGTAGCATGTTAGCCGAATTGGCTATAACTTCTCTGGCTGTAACTGCAGACACAGCAAAACAGCCCAAACCACACAACAGTGAGGAAGAGAAGAGGGAACTAAAACGAAAAAATTATCAAAAAAGAAATCGAGCCCGGGTGAACATAGCTAGCTTACATTGTATCCTCTGGAGAGACAGTCTATGGGAGAGACCTGCGGGACCACCTAGGACTATCTACGCTTGGACTACATTCGGACGTGAAAGTAGCGGTAATCTTTCAGTTATAGATTTTGTTAGCAGTGCGTTGCTTTTGTACCATTTCATCAGTGATTGTTATACAGCTTAACCCTTTAAGCGCCAAAGTCGCAATATTGCGACAAGCAACATTGCTCACTTAAACAGGCTGTATCTAAAAATGTGGTGCAGAATCTTGTTAATACTTTTCACCAGGGGTTAGTGGACATGTGTGCCTGTAATATGAGCAGCATTTGTGGGTGTGGTTATATTGAAAGTTTTTGAGTAAATTGAGTTCGTAAAACACCTGCGGCGCGGAGGCGAAGCAGCAGCGGTAGAGCTGAGAGGAGCGAGAGCAGAGCAGAGGGAGAGAGGGTTTTTTATTTACTCACGAGGTCTTCAGTACCAGAGAAGTACTTGGTCTGGTACTGGCTCACTCAGATTCAGAGGAGGAAGACACACAGGTGTCCAGTGAAGCAGACTCGGGCATTATTGGTGACGGGGAGACAGCGCTCCATAGTCCACAATCAGCCCCTGTGCAGCGGCTGCTTGTCCTCCGTGTGGCCGCGGTAGAAGCATTCTGTGAACGCCAAGCAGGGGCCGTGGTCGAGGGGACAGGGGGATCATTACACCGGGCATGTGGGAGAAAGTAGCGGGTGTAGACATCCACGGGGAACACGGGAGACGCGGGAGAAGTCGCGGGGGAGCCGCGGGAAAAAAACACATCGCTAATCGCGTTCACTGCCTTTATCAACAGTGATGATGAGGATGAAGGCAGTTCTTGAGAGAAAATAATCCACAAAAGTGGATCAGAAGTGTTGAAGAGCCTGTTGTATGTTGTTGAGACGATCTGACATGTTCTGTGCCCATTCATTTCATCTCTCTGTTTCTAAACGATAAATCCTGGAGCCTCATTTCCACTGAGAAAAATAGTAAGCCCACCACTTCTTTGAAAGGGAAATATTGAAACCAATCTCCAGATTTCATGACTGTAAACTATAAAGAGTGCTGTCTTGATCACTGAAGGTCTTTGAAAATAATACAATTCCATATGGCCGCGAACCAGTGCTAAAACATTATCTATAATCTGGATCAGGGAATTTATTTCTATCCCAAATTCATTTCATACTAAAGATATTTCACATTGACTGTTTATAGTATTCCCTGATCGTGAATGACGTCACAATATGCAAATTAGATGACGAATCAACTTCCATCCCAAAGTTTGGTTCAAACCATAGACTGTATATATTAACGGACAGAGTCACGCCTATCTCCGCCGTTCTAACTAATGGGCCAAAAAAAGTGCTTTCATGGAGCAATCCAAAATGGCCGCGAGTGGTCCCGCCCACAAGAAAATTGTGAAAAAACGCATCTGCGCATGAGTCAGCCGGCGCAACTCCATTCATTTGAACGAGAGACTTAAAAAATTCACAGCGAGTAAACTAGAGTGGACCAAAAAAATCCACCCCCCTCAGCATTGACACACATGTGGAACGGAGCTTTGAGCCAAGAGCCAACTTTTGGTCCATCCTGTAAAGACGTTTTTGAGAGGTAAGAAGATGCTATATGTTAGCATTGGCTAATTCTACTTCTGGGTCCACCCCCATCGGCCCGGGGTGGTATTGCAAGCATGTCAGCGCATGTCATTTTGGCCACTTTTGAGCTGGGACCCTCCCCCACTGGTTCAAACTGAAGATATTTCTAAATACAGTATGCCTTTATCTCAAACCATTTTAAAGTTATAGCTTTTTGAAATCTTGAAATCAAAATTGTATATTTTCTTGAAAAAACTCTGGCGCCTAAAGGGTTAAGAGGGCTCCGTGGGATGAGAGCGTATGGGAAATGAGAAGCCTATGAGCGAGTTGAGGGGCGGTGCTAAACATTCAAACCTTGTACAAACTGGTATAGCTCCTTTAATCTGGAATGCATCAGATTACGGCATTAAATCATAGAACTGATTGGACACACTGAGGGCTGACATCGCCCGTAGAGCTAGCCTTATCATGGATGAAGATCATGTATAGCGTTAAACCATGTGTGAAATGAGGGGTTAAGTGAGAGCCGTTTACTTTTCAATGAAATGGAGCCAAAGTCATCCCCAGAATATACCGCAGTGGGCCATGCATTAAACATATCCATCTCCATGGAGACAAGAGGGTATGACAGTTGAGATCTCTGCAGAGGCGAGGCGGCTCACACAGAGCCCTGGGGGCAGTGTTACATCTCACCTTTGTGTTTATGATAAGACAGTTCTCTGTTGGTGACTCGGAGCCATCGCTTCTTAAAGTTTTTCTTGCCGAGACGTTTTCTCCCTTGGCCACGTTTTTGAACTTCCCTGAAGATGAAAAAAAGCTTTATAACAAAGAAACACAATGGCTGATTGTCAGTTTTAAATAGTTTCACTGTCTCAGTACGAGCTCTCGCACAAATGCAATTATAGACTACAGATGAAAGATCAGGTAAAAACACATACTGACAGTCACTAAACTGTTTTTGTTTGTTTAGTTTAGTTACAGTAATAATATTAGGCCTATAATTCTACAACTACAGGGATCTCGCCAGTGTCGTTTTTACCCTGACGCTGAGATGTTGCCCCAGGCGCTGTGTTTTAACCAGAGCAGGGACAAAGTGCTCTACACAGAAGTGAGACCGACAGCGGCTCACCTGTGATCAGTGCACACGCTGCAGAGGCCGCATCGCTTTTACTCTGTTCCCAGGAGAAAGCTGTGTGCTCCACATCAGCGCTGGGGCCTGATGTCAGATGTGTGTGTGTTTGTCCGTGCCAGTCTGTGAAGCTCCCCTTGATTGACCCCTGGTCTTAACCTGGTTCAGATCTGGTTTAGTCTTAGGAGGCAGAAACCGCATGCCCCAAAAATAAATATTAAAGGTTTGTTAGGTCGTGCTTCTGTCTGCTAGTCTGTGACACATGGGGAACTCAATGCTGCCCCTGACTAAAATAATAATAATAATAATAATAATATACAGTTTTGGCTGTGTGCCTCATGATTCTCTTCTGTTGCGGCTCAAAAACAATGGGTTATTTATTTGCTCACCCCTCCTTAAGGATCAGGGCGTCTTCCATGCTGCTGAATTCCTTATTGACGTTAGAGGAGATCTCATCAAGAAACTGGGAAGAGAAAGCCCAACAAATGACAAAACGCATGACACGGCTTGATAACATTTACAAAAGATAAGGCACCTTTACCTTTTTAACCTTTTCAATGCACTTCTCTTCTTGGAATGATTTGAAGAAGTCGTACATATATGTTTCCTTGAAGCTTGACTGAAATCAGGGATAGTGAAAGGTAATAAATACATTTTTTTATTGTGGTTTGTGATGTTACTTTATGGTAAATGTATTGTTAATAATAAAATGATCATCTCACCAGTTTTTTGGACAAACTGCCCCAGCTGCCCAGAGTCTGGATGGTTTTAGAGATGAGAGTGAGTGTCCGTGAAATGTCTGGATCCTACAATCAAATGCACATTAGCTTGTCTTTAGTGGGAGTGTGTGAGAGGGGCACGTACTCACAGGGTGGTGGGAGCGCAGCTGAAAGGAGTGTGGAGAAAGAACCGCCACCGCAAAGAAGCGCAGGAACACGAAGCTGCTCACTGCAGAGTACTGCACATGAGGGTCGGCTGCAGAGAGAAGCTGTCAGTCATCTGTGCTCAGCAACAGCAGCAACGTGAGCCATCAGGAACTACACGCTTTAGTTAACGCTTCGTGTAATCAGTGGTAGAAACAAGTCATTTGAAACAAGAAACTATGATTCTTAGGCATATTGTGAACAGAAGATACTAAAGTAATAGCTCCACCTTCTGGATGCTTTCTATACGGATTTCTTCTGTAACAAATACACAACATTCAACTTCTGAAAAATGCTACAGTTCACTATTCATTCACTCAATGATGGTAAACTACTGTAGTCACAGTTGCCCTGTGTTATACTGAAAGATAAGGCAACAAATCTGTGCTAACTGCTACTCAGACGACCACACACGCACGCACGCGCACACACACGGAAATGTGGATGAAGTGACAGCCATAGCCACAGCCCACAGTGCCACCTTGTGTTCCCAGAGGTCTCCCATCTCAGTACTAACCAGGCCCTGCCCTGCTTAGCTTCTTATATCGGATGGGATCAGGCTTTCACATGCGGGTGACGCATGTTTATAAAAATGTTTCCTCATTATTATTATCAAACAAAACTTTTTGCCAGAGAAATGAAAAAATGATATGAAGAAGCAAACGAGGAAAGCAAATGACCTGGGAAGCGTTTGCAGGCCAGATGTCTGAGAGACCTGAAGACATCGCACATGAGGGGGGGGCAGTTGGCACTGGACAGAGTGATGGAGGAAAAGACCTTCTGCACATAACCCTGAAGGTTCTCCTGAAACAAAAACAACAGATTTCCTGTAAGACACAGGCCTCTCCGGCTGTTCCACTCACACACGGATCATCTACCTTGTTGACCTCCACGTTGTCCCCTTCTTTAAGTCGCACTGGGTCAATCTCACAGGCTTTGTTGGATTCACAAATCTAATCAAACACAACCCTTTTCAGCCCCTGGTAGTTAAAATGAAATATGACCCACAACAGCAGATGTCTCTGCTCTTACCTCATCTATCACTGGCTTCAAGGTAACAGCCAGGTAGTTCTTTCCCACAATCTTCATCATGTCGTCGATGCACCGCGTGGCCAACGAGTTACCACGGAAAATAGTGTTTGCCTCCCTAAAAGAAATACATCATTTCAGATGGGATAATAATCAAAATACTGAAATATTTACCATGTTTAATTACAGTAAATCAACAACAAGCTGTATCTCTTCTGTTTAATTGCCCTGTTACAGTCTTGTCACACCTCTTCCCACTCTTTAATCTTAAAAATAATAATCTTTTTGTTCCAACGTAACTTTCTACTTGAGTACCACCAACATCAGGACTATTGCTGCTCTGAATATATTGAAAGCTGTCTTGACTAACTGCATATGAAGGTTTGAAACATGAACAAAGTCAGACTCACTGAGTGGTGTCCAGCTCCAGAGCTGCCACAGCCGTCACAAAAGGCACAAAGCGACTGTGGTAGAGAAGGAGTCGAACCATGGGCAGCACGGCCTCGTACCGCTCTCTGCAGATCTCCCCCAGAATATGAGCTGCTGAGGCCGAGATGGGCTGACAACACAGACACACAAACACACACACACGCACACACAAACACACACACAAACAGTTTAAAAAACTAAATCTACAGCATCATTGTCGCTGTTAATGATAATTCCCTTGTATGCTCTGAATGTAATCTTTTTGTTGACAATTTCAATAAATAATAGAATGTGGTATTCATGGAGTAAGTGTGTCAAATCGAATGACAAAAACAAATGTATTAAATGACTCCACTATCGTAATGTGATGCAGATTCTTAGAGATAAAATACCTTCACATCAGGAGACTTGAGCAGAAGGTTGCAGAGTGGTGTGTAGCAGACAGAGGGCAGCACTGTGTCCTCTATGTAGGTCAGCCTCAAACGCAATGATCCCAAATCATCAGATTTGGACTTGTTGCCATTTCCTTTTGGCTGAAGAAAATACCTTTGGGACCAAGAAAAAAAATCGGTTGGTAATGCATAATATATACATATCAATATATATGAATATCAGTCAGTCGGACACATTATTGCCCATTTTGTGTCTATATGTATAGTATTTATGTCACAACAGTAGTTATCTCAGAGGACTTTACAAACTCGTTGTCAACACAGATCAGAGAATCAAACAGTTCAAACACAAAGAATAGAGAACACATAAGTATTGGACCATAAGCGGGAATGTCCACAAGTGTTGATAAATATCCATAAATGTAGTTAGGTCATATAAAAGGTGCCATTTAAAATTAATTATTAAACAAGATACAAAATTAATTTACAAGATACAAAGAAGAAAAAAACCCACTGCATTACAACACAGGTGACATGGCGTGCAAAGCCCAACAGGTGGAGCCCATCCTGACATTGACATAGATGATAAGGGCTGGACAGAACTATTTCTCGCTGAGGACACATTAGCTGTACTCATTTGAATAAGTGTTCTTTGTTTGTGGCGCTGAAGGTTTCTATCACAAACACAGGACAGCAGGTACTGCCACCATGCAAAATGCCACCCACGCACTTGACTTTCAGCCCTCATGTACTGACAGATTGCTATCTCGCTTAATCCCACATCGCCTACGCTGACGCAAAGCTAGGTGACACCCACACTGCAAACTGCTGAACATTCAAAGATCAGTGAGGATTTTCAAATCACCTGTTACTAAAGCTGCCGAGTCCCAGAGACACTTACACCTCTAGAGTATCGCATTGACAGGGATTTACTGAAACTAAACTCAACTAACACTTGTATTTATCACAAGACAGAGAATTATTGTTGCTGCCCGGGACAGGTATAGTTATAGGTTAAACAATGCAAAGAGGATAGTGTATGTTTAATCAACTGCACTTTACACTTTGGGGCATTTTCCCATTCACTCCACACAAGGTGTCAGAAGTGGAGACGCCAGTACACACGAGGCACAACCCTCCAGCTCACACAGTACATATGCGGGGAGAAACATCCACACAAAAAGTCCCAGTCTGGCCTCAGAATCAAACCCTGGACCTTCTTGCACGAGTGCTAATCCGCCACCGTGAAGATAATGATGCTATTTACCAGGCTTTGTGAATGTGGTCATTTTGCAGTATTTTCACAGGAACCCGGGTCTCTCCCAAAAACACGTCCTGAGCTAGGTTCTCATTATTCCACACCTCCACTCTGAAAAAAAAAAGACACAGATTTATTTGTACATTGAGTTTTTACTCTGTAATGTGCTAGCCTTAATGTTTAAGCACCAAACATTAGTGAAGACTGTTCAACTTTTTCACAAAAGCTGAAATCACACAACTCAAATCAGCAAGTTTTTACTCCTGCTTTGTGCGAATAGCTTTTAGAATATACTGCAATCCCACCTCAAATCCAAGCCTCAAAAGCCATGCATGTGACATTACCTTTGAATAAGGCTAGCCTTACCCAATGAGCTATGAGTCCACTGTGACGAGTCCCTTAACCAGAAACGAAGATACCAAATACAATTTTAATTTTCCCCCTCACATTTATATGAAATCTTTAGACAAAAGGTTCAGATAACTTTTTGAAGAATTATCAGCTGCTTGGAACGGCCTCACAATATAGTTTTGCTGCTTCGTTCATCCTCCCCTGCAAATGACAGATGTATGGACTTACTTTATTTCCAGTTTTTCAATGTCCTCCTCCTCCACTTGGAAATGGGACTTCTTAGAGTAGCTGCTCGACCTTGTCACCTTTGGGAAAAGCAACACAATCAGGTACATTTACAGGAGGCCTCAAAATTCTGATTCTTACCTCAAAAAAAAAATTCTCTTCAAACTGAGGATTGCTTGTTTTCTTCTTAACTTTTGTTTTCTTCTGGTCAGACCTAAAATGTGAGTGTTTATTGTAACTCATATAAACAGCTCTCAGGATAGTTGCATGAGGGGCCTTATTTTTGTGCCAAACAGCTCTTACCTGGCAGGTCCGACCAGTGACACAGTTGCATACGGGTCACAGTTCTGTCCACTTATCAATGGCAGTCCTTGGCACTCTATTTTTCTAAAACATAAATAGGATGGATAATTTTAATTTTAATTTCCAAAAATTAAATTACAACATGTAAGGGGTCATGTTAAGAGCTTACAGTTTTCCATTAAAACTACAAATGATAAAATACTTTCTATTAACAAAAGGACAATTATATGTTTAAGTCTCTTGTATTATTTGTGAATAGAAAACCACACGCTCTGTCCTTTTGAATGCAAATGTGGCTCTGTACAGAAGGGCTTTCAGGCGGTGAAGCACAGCCACCTGCAGCAGGGGTCACACCAGGACCCACACGCAGACCATGGTCCTGCTTGTGTCGGATGACAACACACAGTGTCTGCACCCAAAACAGGATGTGGCTCAGCAGGCGTCACCGGAGGCCCATCTCTGTGCGGCTGCATGTTTATGCTACTCCCTGTCATGACAATATTCCCCAAATCCCACAAGTCTACGTGTTTTCTCAACTACACCTTTAGTCCCAGCTGCAGAGGCTGTCAATTTACAGTCTAGATAGATACTTTATTGATCCCCGAAGGAGAAATTCAGGTGTCTAGTAGTAGCAAAAATAAAAAATAAAATTGATCATTCTAAAAAGTTAAAAATAGTAATAATCAGCAACAGCCTCAGGTCACAGCAGAAGAGGTGGAGTATCCTCTGGGTGGAGCAGGACGGGTCACAAGGTGGAGTAGCCGCTTGGTTCGGACCATTTTCTCTGCACTAGTCCAAAGTAAAATGCTAAATTCTTCATTAACATTTTTCAAAAAGTTAGCGTTCCTCCTGTGGATTTTCATCTGAGCCGCATGGTTCGGACCATAAATCCTCTCTGCTCCGGTTTCTCTTATATATTTGCTCTCCTGTATAGTTTCAGGGCTCCACTTTTAACTGTTTCACACCTAAAGGTTGTCTCCAAATCATACAAGGATAAATATGTGACTTAAATGAATAAATACTGCCCTTTCATATTAACAAGCAGGTTACAGTCTGAGTAAACATCGGCGTCAGTGAGTGATGGCTGCTCCAAAACCGCATCGGCCGCAATGACAAGCTCCCACTTCCTGCTCTCATACCATCACTTCTTTCTCAATGCAAAACCCATGAGACCCATGTAATTGAATTTACATCCGACGTGAGAGATAAGAATGAACATATCATATGTTTAACCATTTATCTAATGGACCATGTGACAACACATGTGGCCCATAAAGTCACGAGTCCCAAGCGCAGTTCACTGAATCCCTCTAAAACAACTTCCAACAGGAACATATGTGGTTAAAAGTATTCAGCATGTTATTAGTTTACTTCTCTTCGAGGTATGTTTAAACCAATACGACTTCACTACTGTCTTGTATCTTTTAAAATGGACACTCCAATGCTCACCTGACTCGTAAATGTTGACACAAAGAGCCATTTTCTGTGATAACTTCATCCAGTCGCATTTCCAGATGAACTTTACCCTGTTAGACACAAGGAGGAGGAGGGAATGACAGACTGGATGTTACAAATTACCGCTACTTGGTCATGGGATTTCAATGGGCCTAAAGTTCCTGAATGAAACCTGACTGTGAAGCTGTTGTAAAAGGACTTAGATAGTCATCCGTGAGAAAAACATGTCAGAGGATGTAAGATTTGTTGATTTGATCACGGTGAAAGATCTGGGCTCGGATGTGGTAAAAGCTACCGGTCCAGCCATCGGAAGTGTCAGAGTGATACTGAGAAGAGGGAGCACCCACACACTTTGCTTCAGGCCTCTGCAGCTCGGCATTTAGTGAACTCGCTAGCGCTTTCTAATGCAGTAGTAGATAAGGCCCTTAAGCCCACATAAGACTATCTGCTTTGTACTATTTAGGAAACTATCGTGGCCTGATTACGCTTCACCTGTTGGCTCAGCTGTTTAGCCGCAAGAGCCAAAAACAATTTGTGAGACGGTAGCAAAATGTCTTGGAAATGTGAGTTCAACATAATGCATGAAATTATGTGTAAATAACAATAAATGTGATGGAAAAGTGACTCCTTGTGAGTGATTGTGTGAACAGTGCACCAGGAATAGCCAGGCGTGGGCTTATGTGGGATAGAGACACCATGTTAGCAGCAGTTACTCACAAATGCTATTGTTTTTTCCTATGTCTTCACTATTTCACTAGTTACTAATTTGCAAACCCCTTGAAATCGAGTTCCTGGAAAGCCAACAATATCATTCTATCATTTCCAAACTACATTTAAATAGGTAAATGTATTATTTTCATACCAGTGTAAATGTAAAGTAGGTGCCTAAATAGCTTATATTTAGGCACCTACTTTTTATCTATCTGTATTTTAGGGCTGGTTGTCAAATTTGACTCAATTTATGGCAATCACTTGTTTGATATAAAGTAGTTCTCTAGTGGGAAAAGGTTGTAACTACTGATCTAATAATACATGGCCTATTTCAGACATCTCCCATTAGGAGCAATGGTATCTCAGGGGAGATTGAAATACAAACTTCTATAACAATAAGGATGAGGCTCTAAAAAGTCATTCTATGGATATTTTACCTGGACTTCCGAGTTGGGATCGACAGGCTGTAGGCTAAACCATTCTTCTTTTCCGGTGTATTTACACAAGTCCTCCTTCCGTATTGACACTTTACCTAAAACAAGAATATTAATTATTGCCTGAAGCACTTTGGAGAACATTCACATAGATCACTTATAAGGTCACTTACCAACCGGTAGTTCCCTTTGAAAAACGCTTTTGGCATAAACGCAGAAAGATAAACACTGAAATGGCCGTGGGATTTCAAAGTAAAAATCCTCTCCGTAAAAAGGACTGCAGAAGGAGAAAAGATGAATGGATTAGCAACAAAATATATTTACTGTAAAAGCATTTGTTGAAGCACAGAGAGCAACAGAATGGTCACTCAGGTTATGTTGTTGTCTGTGAAATTCAAGTCACTTAGAAAGTTACTATTTATCAAGAGTAAAAATCACACAGATGAACTGATTTTCAATTATTATAATTAACTTGCAGGTTTGATGGTAATACTGCATGTTATTATAACTACCATGGCATGTTATACCTGATTTTAAATCAAATTTTCTCTAGAAAACATAATTAAATAAATATAGTTCATTAAAAAACAACAGTCTACAAGCCGTCTTCACCTTTGGACCAGTTTTGTTTAATCAAAACAAACAATAACTGAACTAATTAAATTTGAAATCTACAAAAATAATATAAAAAAATAATTCATAAAGAAAAAACATTCTACAAAGACACTTAGTTTCGGCCTCGGACCAGATATTCATTCTTAAACTCAGCCTCCGACTGAAATGAGTGCGACACCACTGATGTAGAAGTAAACTCCTCCAAAACCACATCAGACACATGAATTCATGTTTTTTTCATTTTTTTCATTTACACAATCTAGGGCTGTGTATTTGCAGCACTATAGAGAGGTGTGTCTCAGATTGTGTGGTGTGCAGTGAAGCAGGTGGATCTGAACAGAAGGTGGACACAGGGTGCTCTGCTGATGACTCAGCAAGAATGAACTGTTCCTGCAAATATGTAAATCTACAGCTGAAGATAATATTAATAACAAATACAATGGCATTAAACAGATTAATAAATCATTAAATAACAAACAAATAATGACAAGGAATTGATGAATGGATCACTATGGCGATCAATTCCTATTCTCAGTTTTTAATCATGAATAAATATAAATGCAAAAGGAGAGTGTATGTTCAATGAACCGAACTGAACTACAGACAGTCATGAGCGAGATGAGTGGGTGTGATATCGTCACAATGCTGTTGTTTTTTTTGCCAAAATACGTTAAACCAATTGAACCAAACATAACATTTGAAAGAGTTCCTTCATGAGAGATGAAGGTCTGTGTGTAACCGGGTAACTCAGGCCCAGCAGCTGTCCCACAGACTAACCAGGGTTTAGCCATTTGCACTTAATTACTCTACATATGCCCATGAGCTTCTACCTCTAACTACTGAACCAAAAAGATCACAAATAAATAAATGTATTTATTGGGACTGGAGCTGGGTGATTTCCCCAAAAAACACTATATTTTTCAAAACTAATTTCAAAACCAAAAATATTGCTTTTATTTAAAGCACATCAATCAACAATAGGGAACAATGGATTTGGATTTTTGGAAACCATAAACAATTTCTGCTTTATAAATTAGCTATTGGTATTTTTTCACCATAGAATATCATATTTGTCATGAACAGATCGAACTCAGAAAATTATAATACCGTCCATTTATCTCTGGAATTCAACTTACAATTTCAAGCTAACATATGACCGACACATAACATATAAAGTGAGATTTTGGTTATTTTTGGTTATAATAGCAATAATTGGCTCAAAGCTGTAAAAAATACTAAAAAGGATCTCAGAAAATTGCTATTTAAAAGTAAGCGACAATCATCAACACTATAACAATGTTTGTGCATAATGAGCCTATATCATGTGTTGGTTTCACATTCTAAGATTAATTACAGAAATAAATTAACTTTTGATCAATATTCTAATTTTCGGAGTTTCACTTGTATACGGCCCCTACACCCCGCAAAAGTGTAAGAGACACGCACCTCTCCTTGGCAGAGTAGGCCTGCGTCACGAGGCATCATACACATCGGCAGAGTGCACAGAGGCACGACTGCTGCTGCTGTCCCTGTGCAGTGTACTGTGAGTGCAGAGGACAGTACAGGACAGAGGACTGATGTACGTGTATGTCCTCATGGTCTCTGAGGCGGGTGTGGTCAAACAACAAGACTTTATGAAAGAAAAAAAACAGTGTCCAGAATCTCTTTCAAACTTGCCAGCCCTCCTTCTAATGATTAAAATCAAGTGCTGTTGACATGTGAAGCTGATTTAGTGCCAAGAACCGCTAGCACAAACATGCTTCCCAATGATTTTTGACAGAAAGGCATGTCACGCCGCATCAAACATACGCAATGCTCCTATTTAGGGCTGACAAGCCCAGTTCGCTGCAGTTTGCTAGCTGTGCGGCGCTGTGCGGCGCTGTGCGGCGCTGTGCTGCGTTGTGCTGCGTTGTGCTGCGTTGTGCGGCGGGGTGGTGTGTGCGGTGTGAAGGGGCCGTTAAAAGATTTTATTCCTTGAATACAGGGGGCCCAAACATCTTCTATTAGAAACCCAAAATGAATAGCTATTGGCATCGAGAGGGCCAAGCCTAAATACAAATAAACAATAAATTTGTTCAGAGTATAATTAAAATATTCTCAATTGGAACACTAAAAACTGAGACTTACTTCAAATGTTGCCGTCCCTGCTTTGCAGGGCAATGGGACCCATTTGGCTCATAGGCCCCACTTTGGGCACCTCTGAGGTACCAAAAATATCAGTCAAAACAAAGGTAAAGGATATATAAAAAATACACTCTAAAGAAATTATTTGACAAAAACTGTACAGTACTATAATAATTTTCTTTATAATGGGAAAGAAACAAATATTATTAGAGGCCATATTTTTGAATCACACAATGCTGATCTCTGAATGTGTGGTTTTGATTCCTGCCATTGTGCCATGCATGTAACCCTATAATGCAAGGGTCAAACAGTGATTTGGTCCACGTGGCCAGTTTAGCCAGTTTTAACCTGCAAGACCTAGTCTTGATCCTGTAGAACTCCTGGCTTAAACCTGCCTACTTGAACTATGATAAATACAATCATGATTAAGAATGGCAACACAATTATGTCATTACCATGAATATAATTATTAATTCTATTTTAATTTCACAAATGTCAGTTGTCAGTGGCGTCTTTAAATTGTATCACACTGGAATCACCCATTGCTGAGGAAGAATGTCTTAAAATATGGTTGAAAACATTGACCAAACGTGAGCAGCTCCAACATGTGGGACTCAGGTGGGTGTGAGTGACACAGAGAGTGTGGGAGGACACACTTCCTCCTGTAAAACCTTTTTGAACTGCACCGACATTGGCAGGAAAAGCAAAAAGGCTGTTGTGAAATGCCACGAGAATACTGACTGCTGTTTACAATGGTGCAGATAGGAAACTGAAATGGTCTCTGCTTCAAATGGTCCACATCTGTGCTCTGCCCCAGCATCCAGTGGTCGCAGTGACAAGCAATATGACTAACGTTTGTGCATTTGTGGGTGAGACATAGTTAAGTTCAACCGTCAGGTCGCTTAGTGAAACATAGTCAACTTGTTTAATGAAAGTAGTCATTTCGAATACATTTTAATTTCCATCCCAAATGATCATAAAAGTATTGTATAACTGATGTTGTGTCTTTCTGCCCTATTCAACACTGCGGAGATTTCATGATTTTGACATTTCTCACTTCTCACATTTTCAAATTTTAATAATATTTTTATTTATTTATTGTCCTGCCCTGATTTTCAATACTTTTGACCACTGTGATAATTATTTACAAAAATAGAAAACAACAAGTTCCAAATATTGCTGTGCAGATTTGATTCTGAAATGATCTATGAATGTAGTGAATGAAGTTATTAAACTAAATAAGGACATTGAACATATTTCTTACCTGACACTTTTATCAAAGACCTTCGTACGAAAAACTTCCTCCTGGTCCAGACTTATGGTGCAGAATGTACACAGATCCCTTTGACGATTTGGTCCGGAGACTGGGGCCAGATTTTTTGCTTCACCTGCCCAACAGGAGAAAATTGATAGTTATCTTAAATGTAATCTGAGAAAGTATTTTAAATTTCCCAACTGTGGGATAAATAAAGGATCTCTCATCTTATCTTATTGAAAAGTAACATTTATTATAGTGTTGTGTTTGTATAAAAACAGAAAGCCAAGCAAAACACCTAAATACAAAAGGTATATGTTGACCATAATAACAGGTTTTATTTTCATTATCATAATAAAACCTTAAAAAAGCACCAATTTCCAATTACTTTACTTCCTAATTATTTATATTTATCACCGCCCATTGCAATCATAGAACCAAATATCAACATATTATTATTTAAATATAGAAACCAATATTACAAATTGGACAAAAATAAATATAATCAACTAGAAGTCAGATAATTACACTTCTTCTTATGTATCTATTATGTAAAATTACTGACATCTATTTACTTAGATCAGGTATTTTTCATGTTAATATTAGTACATAAAACATGACAACATACAGTTTTATAGTCTAAAGGTTTGATGATTGCTATAATAATATGGTTGAATTTGTCACTAATCTGATTGTGGTATGAAGGCAGGTAACGGCGGATGTCACTCGAGTTAACACGATGCTTATTTGTGGTTAAAACAAGAAACATTGACTTCCTCGGCCAAACCAACAGCGGCAATTCACAAATGGCAAATGCCTTTTACAGCACCATTCACATTTCAGCATACTGTACTAGTCTCATTACGACTTGTTTACACCCTGAGACCACTGCTGACTGTAAACAAAAATAGCACGGTAAAGGTTAAAAAGTTAATCCTAAAACATCAACAATGTCCCAATGGCATCTTTACAATGAGTCACAGATTTAGATGAGTGGATTAGCAGAGCATATATAATACTAGGTCCCTGGAAGTCTTAAGAGAGCCATCAATAGAGAACACTACTAGGTGCACATTTGACATAGAAATATATCGATATGATGCAATAATCTTTCAATAAAACTGTGGGAGGAAATGCCCGAAGTCAAAACTATAGAATGCTACCTGCTGGAGTGTGTTCTTGGATTAATCTGAGAGACAGTACATTGAATTTAGCACCATTGTTGAATGTAAGATAGAGGAAAGGACAAAGTGTGAACGAGGAAGAGTGGAGTTTCGTAAGACTGCAGTGAGTTATGCCAGGGAAGTTCCTCTATCTTGTTCTGCTTACTGCATTCTCATTAAATCATAGTAATGTAACAGCATTTGTGTTTATTTCTGGACCTTCTTTATGTTCACATTTTTTCTTTGATTTGTAACTTCACATGTTCTAAAACCAAACAGAACGTGTTAATACAAATTCAAGAGAGATATTTTGATCAGAAAGTGTCAAGTAACTAGTTGTATGCTATTACCATGGAGTGGAATAGAATAGAAAAATGGTGTTTCAACCAATGCATAAAGACCTATAATACATTATCTTACATTAAACAAAAAGCAGATCTCATGGGCTATAATGAACAATGACTGACAACTATTACCATCTAAATAAATGCAAATAACATATTTGACCCAAATATAATTGTATATGTCAACTGTACGTTCACTGTTCCTTAGATAAACGAATGCTTTGTTTGGTTTATGTATAGTTAATTTATACATACATTTATTATTTAAGTTAGGATTCCCAGATGCCTTTAGTAGGCAGAGACATGGTCATTAATTCAATTCAATTCAATTCATTCTTTATTAAGAACACAGATAGAACTGGTTCATAGATTAAAAAAATAAATAATAATAATAATAATAATATTCATTAGACTGTTATGACAGTAGAAGCCCGTAGTGTTGTTAGCAAACCTGCTCACAATGGTCAAATGTAGGCCACACGGTTTCATTTATATCTTCCAAAGACTAAAAACGTCAATCCATGTGTTATTACAGAGACATCCTCGCCCATGCATGAAGCGGGCAGTGGTGAATGAAGCCACACACACACACACGCTGCTGTTAGCATGCTAGGCTAACGGAGCTCCAGTCTCCACACCCGCAGCCCTCTCCACACCGTCCGCCCGTCTGCACCACAGCGGTCAACCCTCACATCAACTCACAGATTTTCCCCCGAAGACTTTGTAAAATCCGTATCTTGGCTTCGTCTTCTTCCGCCATGGCGAGAGCTGAGTCCCGGTGCGTTCAGCGCTGGTTTATCATATCCGTGTGTTTGTGTGTGTGTTGTCTGTCTGTATGAGTGTGTGTTGTCTGTGTGTGTGCGTGTGTCGCTGAGGAGCCAGAGCAGAGCCTGCCCCAGTGCGCGTCACATCAGCCCCTCCACAGGACTGCTCTTCAGAGCCCTGCCCTCCTGCCTCTGCGATGGTAGGAGTTTTAAAGGCTTTAACTCTTAGTGGTGTCTCTGCTTATAGTCTTATGTAACTGGAAAAGCTGTGGTCAGTGCGCAGGCTACATGCTAGGCTACATAGAGATTTCTTAAAGTCATGCGTGAAGTTGGCAATGGCCACACAAAAGTTTTAATTGTCATTTGTCAAGATCTATTTGTTTTTTTAAATGTATTTTTATCAAATACATACAATTACTTAACTACTTCTAAATGTTGATATTATGAATCTCATCAACAGTAATACTATTTGTTCACACACAGGTTGTGTTTCCTGGATGCACAGCATATGCTAGTGGACAATGCCTCTTCTTGTTACATTGTTATAACATTGTCTAATGTATCCAAAACTTGTTATTTATCAATTCTAAAACTGTGATCTAAAGTTTTAGGAAGCTTTTAAATTCATCAGAAGTTATACAAAGCCTTGTGGTACCATAAACATATTATTGTTTGCGTGTATGTGTTCAAAATATTGTATTTTAAATGTTTGAAAGAGCATTGAAAAACAACTGTGGTATAGGAAGTTGCATCACGGTTTTCTTTGGTACATTTTTGTAATACAAGACTAAAACAATTTGTTGGCACTGTGCCTCTCGTCATCAAACATGGGAAGAGTGATGCATTTCAGATGCAGTCTTGGAGTACCTTTCTGAGAGAAGTGTGGTAACTCTTATTTACCTCTTACAATTATACTACATGACTCACCAGTCATCATTGGTATTCACTCATGTCTCATTATCAGTTTCATGAAGTCATGATGGGAAACTGGACTGCCCTACCTGAACCTGTAGACCTGGCCCCGGCTCGGCTGCCCTCTCCCGCCCTTGACGAGCCTAACTGACTGTGACTCAACAGACTCAAACTCAGTCCTGGATCTACAGCCGGACCTCCCATGGGAGTGGATCCCTCTCTCACTGTGGGTCTCCCCGAGGTTTGATTGTTTCCCCACTGGGTTTTTGAGTTTTCCTTCCCAATGCAGGAGAGTTCTAAGTACAGGGGTGGACATTTATAGACAGTGGTTAACCTGTTTATTCTATGGACCAATAGTCTATCTTATAACTGATTATGACGAATCAAGACCACCAAAACAACTGATTTTGGTCTATAAAAATACATGGATTGGATTAGATTTTCCTCTGATAAAACCATGCTTCACAGTAGAATATTAGCCAATATTATCAACTTTTATTTAAATAGATATCATGTTGCATTTCAAACAGCAAACATATTAAACAAAATTCATACTGAGTGGTTGTATTAGAAAGTATCTCAAATCTTGCTGTCTCTCTTAAAGTTAAAACATTATTGGTAGATTTAATAAAGTGCCATTTACAGTGAGAAATAACATGTTACTTAAATATGTGTGATCTTAAACTAACAATAAATTGGTTAAGAAATGTTGATTATTGTGCAATGTGCATACACTGCTACCGCTTTATGCATAGACAGTTTCAGAATGTATGGATCTGTAAACCCAAAGTTTTTCAACGATACATTTTCAAAGTGGGTAAAACATAGAAACATTAGAAGAATCAAATATCTTCGATGAATGGTTCCTCCTTACACCCCAACTTTGAAATGACAGCATCTTTCGCCTCATCTCTCCATAACAGATTCTTCCTCGTGTCAATGTTCACTCCTGACCAAGCGTTGTCGTCCTTATTCCTACATTTCTTTTTTTGAGCAAAGCAAATAGTTTTCATAGAAAGCAGGTCCTCACATCTACTTTTCATTTTCTTATACTTGATCTTAGGGGGTGGTGAGAGCGGATTTTTGACTTTTGTGGACATAAAATCTGTGTCTTCTGGTTTAGCTTTATCAATCAAATAACTCTCCTCCTCGCTTTTTATCGTAACGTTGTAGTGGTTTTCTTCCCCGTCCTCTGCTTTGACGATATCCTCATTAACGTCTTCACTTTGGTTTGTTGAATATTTTGGCGAGAACCCTTCGTAATTGAAGTCGCTCTCGTTGCAATTCTGATGTTTCTTTTCGTGGCTGTTTTTGGTTGCCAGATAGAGGAAACGTTGTGGGCAAAAGGAGCAGCGATACCTCTTCTCCATCCCGGGACTTCGCGGCTGGCTATCAAAACAAGATCCGTTCTCCATGCAATTCTTACAGACGTAATCAGCTCCTGCGGGCACCTCACCTGGGGGACCCTGCTTGCCGCATGTTCGACAAAAACACGGGTGAGAACCAATTACGTGAGCCCTCAAGCCGTTCTCGGTTATAAATGAACTGTCGCAAATGTCACAATTATATCTTGAGCTCCTACGTTGCACCTCATTCCCTGTCGAGACGTGCTCCTCTGTCCCCCAACTTTTTTTCCCCACCTCACTGTCAATAACCCCACCATGCATTTCTTTGTCAATGCGCATTTTCTTTTTCTTCTTTTTCACTTTATAAGAGTAATACGGACGCCAGAGCAAATCCGTGTTGTCGCAGTCGTTCGGATCTCCTGCTGTCACTGGAGCATCTTTTTTAAGACCAGTGCTTAAGTCTTGACTAGATTTGTCGGCTTGTCCAAATTCTCTCATTCTTCGTTTCTTTTTAGGGAAGAGCTTAGAGCCTTTGATTCGGCGCCGGATGATGGCTTCGTTGCCTATTTTTACCGTGATCTGGCACAGCGGAAGAGGGTCGCCGCCTGTAGATGGACCGAGACACGCAGGTTTTGCAATATACGTTTCAGTCTGTTCGTTTCTGCCTTGCCGGAGATTGTCTGTGCCCGACTGAAGCAGCTCCTTGGTCATTTCTTCAACCTTTTTAGCTGAAGCAGAGAGTTCACTGAGCTTTTTGACGCTGTTAAAGGAGTTGATGAGTAAACTTGAAGGATCTGTAGTAGTTTCTGTGTTCAATGGTAAAGGGAGACTGATAAATGCAGTGTTATTTTCTTTCTCAGAAGTTTTTCTTTGGCCAATTCCCTGGTCACAAGGTTTGTCAACATTAATGTGTGGAACAAATGGTGCTACAGTCTTTGTTGTGACCATGAATGTCAAAGGGAGAGGTGCATTTTGGGAGTTCTCCTCATATGAAGCCATAAGAGCACTGTCCTCTTGTTCACCAGGTTCCTCTGTCTCAGATGCAGCTGACCATGTGTTACTGTATGTTTTGTATCGTATTTTACGGAATTTCATTGGCAATAGTCTGTACAATTTGATTGGATAAATGCTAGCTTTGAGTCCACCATTGGCTGATTTCTTTTTCACCGCCAGGCTGGGGTCGATGCCGTGAAATGCCTTCTGATGATTCTTTAAGATATAGTATGTCATAAAAGTCTCTAAGCAGAATATGCACTGATATCGCCTCTCTCCTGTGTGCCAGATTTCATGCTTAGTCCGGTACTCTGCCAAAGCAAAGACTTTGTTACAGTAATGGCAAGGATAAGCCCTTTGCCAGGAATGTACATTCTCATGCCGCTTGAGACTGGAAAGTGTCTCATAAACTCGCTTACATACACTGCAATTGTATCTCCTTTGATTGCCATTTGACTTTATTGTTTTTTCTGCTGTTAATTGATCAATAGGATCTATAGGGTCAGTCTCTGGGGTATCAGTGGTGAGGAGTGAGGATTGGGGCTCTCTCATCATGTTCGACTCATTTTGGGAACACAATTCAGTAGTTGAAGGTGTGATTTGTGTTAGATTTTTTGGTGGGCCCCTAAAAGCGTTAGGACACACTTGTTCGTGGTTACGCAGGCGTTTTAGATGTATAAATTTTCTACGACACAACTTACAACATAAATGACTAGCAAAGCGTTTTTTATGGACCGTTTTGTGGCTGTCAAGTAGGGCTTGAGTTGTGAAGTGCTCTGTACATTGGTTACAACTATATACTGAAATGTTCTCTCTTTGGGGAGAGAGAGGAGGTGGACCCAGTTCATCATAGGCGTCACCTGCAGTTGCGGGTGGCGCAGAGTCAAAACTTGTGTCTGTGTTTACTGCTGAAATAAGAGGGGGTGGTGTCAGAGCTGCGTCAGGTGCCACCCTTACACCGTTATCTAATGTTTGACCTGCTGTACACACGTTATCTGTGTGTGCTTCGCCAGGTGTGGAAAGGATAGTTTTGGTCAGTGTACCTCTTAACCTGTGACGCTTCTTGAGTGGTCCTGCATTTCGATACATGAGTTGCTTTGACTGTGATATTGAGGGTTTACAAAGCTTCTTATTCTCCCACTGACTGTTATCATTCACATCTGCTGTCTGGCTCACAGCGTATGAGTGCTCTGAGAGGGTGTGGGTGGTCTCACTGCTGACAGTAAAGGAGGAGGTTACAGAGCAGCTCAATGGGAGCTGTCCCACGTCAGGTGACTGCCTCTCTCCATTGGGCTCCGCTACAGGGGTAAAAGGATTGTTTCCGAGACACGCTTCAGTCATAGAGAAAGCATTGGTAATTCTCGGGCCTCTGTCTATTTCGTCAAGCCTGTGAAGGTCCTTTTGGGTCTTTTTAGGCACTGCTACTTTATTGACATCTGAGTATTTAGCAGAACCACTTTGAACACTTGAAAGAATGCTTAAGTGCTGTGGGTTTTGTTCTGCAATCTTTTCTAAAATTGGAATTCCAAGCCTTTTGCCCGCTGCTACCATACTGCCTCTGTCCTCTGCTCCACATGACGTCACTTTCGAGCAGTAGATGAGGTTAAGGATATTTGCAAAAACTTCAGATTTCAGATCCATCAGCTCCAGTATCTGGCCTGAGTTCCAAGTTTCCGATGCTGTAAGTGCATTCTTGAAGTAGCCACTACTGGCTGCAAGGATGTTTCTGTGTGCTCGGAATTTCACATCCTCCACCACTATAGTCACGTCGCAGAACAGCCCTTGTGAGCGCTGCTCATTGAGTTTGCAGAGCACAGTTTGAGGGTGGGCAGTATCCATGAAGAGTTGAGTGCATGGAGACACTACAGTCATCTAAAAAACATAACAAAATAAAACACAATTATTCAATATACTATGCAGTATTCATACCGATTTTATTGACTTGAAAAGGTTTCTGTGAATCTAGAATACAGTGTAATGATGTGTTTTAACACTAGATGGCAGTGATGCTCTGACAAAGCAGCCAGGAGTGCTGTGCTGTGTGGGCAGTAATGTTGTTCAAAAAGTCAGGACATCCTGTTCTCAAGTATCCTTTTAGTTTGGATGTAAATGACTGCATTTTATAGATCCACAATACAAGTCCTTTTAAGAATAATATTTGAGAACAAACAGCAAGATAAAGTTAAAAGCATTGGGTTCTTCCATACCAGACGTGGTGTTATTACCTTGACATGTTGACCCAATACTTTTAATTCTACTAAGAAGACAAGATGAATCTTCCTAAACTAGCAAGATAAAGTGTTTACACGAAACTACATAGATACAACAATTACATTAAGTCTGTAATAAAGTATGCACTAATGGATAGTGATTATTGTAATATTAATAATGCTGTTTGTTAACACAAAGTGGATTAAGTCAACCACCCTAGACAATGCATGGTGTGACCTGCCAACCATTATCTATGGTTGTAGTGGAAGAGAATCTTGTTTATTTTTATCATCAGAAAAATTGAGCTGCCATGGTATGTAACATAGTTATTTGATATAAATTTCATTGTAAGAAGACATGAACTGAGAATCATAGCTGCTATATTAACAGTGTAAGCCGCCTCGTCCCTTACAGGCCTCTGTTGTCATGACAACATGCTATGGCGCAGTACTTATTGGCATTCAGCAGGATAGCATGTCTGCTAGCTCTAGCTGCACGGTTATATGGTCACATTGCTAACAACAGTACGTGCTCTTTTGTAGAGGCCTAGGCATCTGTCAAAGCTTTTTGTGACTGACAACCTGCTTGTAATCGTTTCCATCGGCTGCTATTTATCGGCTTATTGGGCAATTTATATACACTAGTTAGCACCATTGTTTCCTTTTATGCTAAAAATGCATTTGTTGAACTTTGTTTTGTATGAACTAATGTGGTTTAGTGTCACTGCATATGTATGTCTGTATGTATGTTGCTACATTCTTCTACATTCTAGTTCACTGCCACACCCAGCTTCTCGGTACATTGCTGTTAGATCACATATGACACTCTTCTAAATTTTACATAAAAGACCGGCAAGCTGTATCACAGTAGCAAACCTTTTAAAACAAAGAGCGAAAAGCAAAGGCATTAGATATTATGCATCGCTGCAAAATGTTTTTTCTGCAACAAAACGGATTTAACAAATTCAGCCAGATCATGCAAACCCTACCTTTGTACATCTGAGAGACTGATGCAGAGAACAGGAAAGGGAGCCCTGCAGTATCCTTTCACTGAAGCGCTATACTTGAAACTCGTTTTAGTGAGCGCAAAGCAAAACTATTTTTTCCTGTGATGGTCGATAAACAGCGGTGTAGTCCAAAGCTGTGCTTTATGTGCCGCTTTCTGCCTCTCCCTCCCTCTCAGAGCAGATGACTCCAAGCTCCAATGTCCTCCATGTATGAAGCTGGTTGTGGTCTTGGGCGAAAACTGCTCTGCCCTACTCTGACTCTGCTTCCATGTAGAAGCTGCATAAAAGTACAACATTTCATACGTCGTAACATATAAGATTTAAATAGACCTGATTCAAAGTAATACGTGCCGGAAATAACTTTTATCAATCATGCCAGCTTGGTGTTGGCACAGCGGAAAGAGACCGCATGCTTGATCACACAGCAGCTCTGTGCCCGACTGAACTGCCAGACACAAAACACTTCACCGTACTAAATCCAATATACAAAGATTATACGTATTTGTTGTGTCTGCTGTACAGCACATAAATATTTGAGCACAGCAACATCTGCTTTCTGCTCCACAGACATCCTTGACATGAGCCGTGTTACACAAGCCAGTTCGACTTCCATATTGTGCAGTGCAGACTGTGGATGACACCGTTTCAGTAGGTAATGCAGCCGGGATCAGATGTGTTTTTGTTACATGTGCAATAATCATGCATAGCTGATGGAAATGGTGCAGACGGGCACTGGTTTACCTAGAGCAAGGCAGCTGAAGTGATGTAAAAAGCGGCAGATGCGTCAGCACTGCAGACGAAGGGGAGGGGGATGGGAGGGAGCTAAAGCCGACACGGCACACTGAGGATCGGGCTTCTGTAGAAACAAAAAGCACTTTTATTTACACAAAATATTTCCCCACTTCACCTCAAATGAAATATACGTATGTATAGCTGCTCTATACACATTATCTGGGGGTTAGTGAGGAATGTTATGTCAAAAACATGCGATTTATAATTAGAATATCCCTAAATTATAATAATAAATTGTATGGGTTTTAGTTTACTAAAACTGCACAAGACAGAACCTAAATTACTATCTTTTGCTTGGCCTGCACTAGTTATGCACTAGATGCACTGGTGTGTAACTTTCTGGTGGAGGGTAGGCCTCCTGTCTGTTGCTTGAGTAATTCTAGGTGGTATTACAAAGTTTTATTTCCATGTTGATACAGATAACACCACCGGGCGAAGTTCCAGGTCAGATCTGTGCGGAGAAAACTTGTTGAAATAGTGTATTTCAAATTCTCTACGATCATACACGTGGCATACTTGTGGAACTTTCTAATCATTAGACACCCTTGAGAAAATGTGTACTCTTTTCAAAAGTATAGTTACTCTATACCGAAGTAATATTACTTTTAAGTCTTGTCTTACTATTCGTTCTGCAGAGAGTAACTGACAAAAACAAAGTCAAGGACAACCATTGGAATGTTTCTGTAGTACATCTCACTTATTTTCACTGGATTTGAATGTTTTTGAAACTGTATGTTGATATAATGGCTATAATGTTAATATAATGTAATAGAAGAAAAATATGATCAATTATAGTTAAACAGACTGAACTAAACTTAACTGAGCTTTGGCCTAGAGCGACAGGAAGCCATACAGACCATATGAACGAAGGTGCCTATCCTACACTTGTCCGTCTCAAAGCACTCTTCTACATACAGAACACAATGTAAATATTATATTTTTAGTTGCCTACCAAAGGTCTTGACGATCTTTTCTTGGTACACCTCTGTCGCTGTTGAACTTTTTGTTTGTTTGGACCCGCAAAAGCAGTCTACGCAACTGCTATTCCATCTTTGGCCTTAACTGGGACAATACGGACTGCCCTCTTCATCAGTGTCCACGTCCTGCCAGATCTCTCACAGGTTTTCTTCTTTATTTCTCTTCTTGTTCACCTTCTAGAGGCTGCTGCGTCACTCCGACTGCATCACTGACCCACAAAGAGGATATGAGAAGGAGGGGTTGGCTTATTCAATGCGCAGAGGCAAAGGGATACATGGAAAATACACACTCCAGCTCTGAATGAGAATAGCAAACAAGTGGACATGAGGAAACTCTTGCTCGGCTTGAGGCCTAGTTGCTGCTGCGGCATTCAGGAAATACGATTGGGAGACAGATCGCTCATTGTTACGTAATGAATATTTTTCCTCCGAGACTAGACTCAGCTGAGAAGGCGGTATCCAATGTTCAGAAGCTAATAATAGGCCATAGTCCACACAGCACCAGTCAGAGCAAATAGCTGTGGACACGGTCAAATACAGAGCTGACCAATTTGGGCAGAAATAGCTTTAGAAGAGCATTAACAATGTTCTCATGTTATTCAGAAAAAGTAAAAGTTTAGGAATTATAATGATTATGGATAAGAAAAACAGCCATACCTCATGTTAGTGCTATCTACAATATAAAAAGATGTGCTGATGTCCTCGTAAGCCATTTGTGCAAGATTTCAGTCCAGAAAAGTGTTGCTGAAGAGTTTGGGCCTTGACATGGGAAAAGAATTAGTGCACTTATTTTTGCACACGTTACATATGGGTTTATTTGCTTGATCCTCCTCCCATCATCACAGTTTTCTTTCATTGACACATTGCTCCATCTGCTGGTTCTTTGGGGATGTGCAGCTGGTGCAGTTTGGGCTATAGACAGAAGAGGGCGTAGGTACATGTAAACAATAGTCTTTTTGATATAATCATGAAGGCCTTGAAACGGGGTTGCTGCTATGAGTTAGTTTATTGTTCACTGTTCTGTTTAATGTTATTCTTTACATCCTGGTTGTGAAATAAACTAAAGAAAGACACCTTCCAGCCCATGACACTGCATAATGTCTCCAACTCCTTGGTAAATTCAGGCACATTTCTCACTCTCTGCTCCCAAAAAGTCTCTGAATTGCAGAACTGGTAAAAAATAAAAATAAATAAAAATAAACATTCTTTGTTCCCATTCATTAAAAGGGAATACACTGTCTTATAATAGTAATAAATAATGCATATATGAAACATTGTTTTTGTGGTAATGTTACTTTTCAGATAATGTAAAGGGTTCCAGAAAGGTTCTCTTACCTGTCTGAACTTATGTGAGACTTGTGTAAGCTGTGCTACATCGTTCAGCTGAAGGTAAGAACATATTCGAAGTAAAAGGTCTTCTGGTAATCTTTCCAGATAATCAAATTGTCCTTTACAAAGCATTGATATGTAGTCCAAAACTTTTTCTCCAAAGACAGTTGTTACTCTTTCTGCAAGAATAAAATATTCAAATTTCAAAATGCACAGTGCCTAATTCATAAAACCCAAGGGAATCACTACTCATTGACCAATACAATGAGTTGAATACATTTTTTCATTGAAATTACTCCATAATTGCAGTGGTTTTGGCCGCCAGTCCAAATGTTCTTCAATCCCTTGTTGATCCAACTATAGTTGGTTTTAAAAAGCTTACGCTGTAATATTTTATGTTGTAGAAAATCCTGATGGGACAGTTTATCTTCTTTGGGTGGAGCACCCCAGCTTCCAAGTCTTAAAGAAATTCTCCAGGATCTCCATATGACCTGAAAATTGATAATAGCGTTAAGTTAGTCAGACTTTAGGACTAATATTTCAGAGCTGTAACTTATGAAATGCAATCATTTCGTCTGTCTTATGTTTCAATAACTAACAGCTAAAGCTGACTGCAGAAGATGATCGTTCTCGGGACGCACAGTTGCTAAAACATTCCGTGAAGCCTAAAAATCACTTGAATATGCGAAAATAGAAAGAAACAGTTCTTCACCTCGTTTGTGGTAATGATAAGTTGAAAGAAATCCTTTTCAGGAGGTGGACCTTGACCTGTAATTTCATAAAGTTGCTTTCCTAGTAAAGATGCCATTTTTCAGACTCAAAAAAGTAACCATGACAACAAAAGAGCGTCTTGCGAACCACTGGTCAATAATGTCTGATAGTTTTGTAATCGCAGTCAGTGGGGGCAGGGGTCACGACCTCCTACCGTATACAAACAACCACAACTAACAAAGTGAAAAGGTGGAGTCCGGCTTTCTCTCTGATTAACATACATTACACATGCATGCTTTATCACCTTTGGCACAATACAGTTCGTGTTTCAGTGCAACGTGAAGGGTTTTCATAAATTATCCAAATGAATGCGGTGAAGTAGTCCCGCGGCGGATGAATGAGGCGGATGTATACTGCAGTAGTCGGTCCTCAGCTGATGTGAAACTATCAGCGGCAGAGAGAGACAAGAGGAGCTGCTGCACTGTCTGTACAACTACAACACTGGAACAAATAGGTAACAACATTATCACATACAACTTATCCGTGACAACTCAGCACACAACCATGTGGACATCCGAGCTAAGCAGCAGCCGAAATATGTCGATGAAATGTGATTCTACGTTGAGAAAATATGTGACGAATCCCGTTCCTGCTTTCCTGTTTTTGTGTCTTAAGGCATCAGAGGCCATTTCTCTTTTGCTGGCTAGCGATGACACGCTAATGTTAGCTTCGTATGTTACAGGTAACGCTAAAGCTAACTATTGAAGGAACTCTCCAATTGTTCATTTCATTTTACGTGTGTGTGTATGGTTTAGTGACTTAGTGATTTGTCGTGAAATATATCTGTTAAAGGAAAGATTTTTTTTTTTCACCGAGACAAAAATAATTAGCTTTAGCGCTGTGCCAAGGTTAGCTGAAAACAACAATCGCTCGACTTATTTGGTAAAGCTGTAGATGACACTCACAGGATGAAGCAGGCACGTATTTTTGTTAGTTTTCAGACTCATCTTTAGTCTTAACGAGTTGGAAACCATAGGCTGACAGCTGGTTACTCGGGTGTTTTATTATTTTTTTCTCTGTCCACTGTTGGTAGCTCTCGTAGCGTCATTCAATAAACACACCGTGCCTTTCTAAGCTAAGCTAGTGTTAGCTTACTGGATCTGTAGTTGGATTTTAATTCAGATTTACACCGGCAGTAAACTCTAATTATGGAAGTGTTCGTTTGTATGTTAAATGATGCACTGGACACTGTTGACATGTTGCTAGTGTGTGGTTAATGCCATGTGTTTCTGGTTATCATGCGCTCCAACGTTAGCCTGTGCTATTTGGTTTTGGTGTTGGCCTGAAATCAACACAAAAAGCTCGCACCCATCTGTTTTCCCCACCTCAGGTTAACTATTCAGCGGGCATATGGTTTTGTTCTGTGTTTTAGACTGAACTTCCACACACAAAGTGACGTTGTAACATTTTAAAGGCGCAGTGTTATATATTTGATTTTCTTAAATATTACGTGAGATAGCGTTACGTCTTATTTGCGTGACTTGTCTCTTACATGACGTTGGATTCATAACATTAAATCTGTATTTGTTGCACAGTTAATTAACGAACTTTATTGTGTTAGGTTTGAAAATGTTATATTGTGTTAGGTTCAGGCAAATATTTTGGTTTATTTTTTTTTTTTATTTTCATGCATGTTAGCAATGCTTTACTTATTTTTATTTTTTGTTGGAAACTATGATGAACAAGAGGTGACTGCTGCCTCATGTGAAATGCCTGAAATGAATAAATAAACAAACTAAACAAAATCAATGTTATAGCACGTTAGCATTAGCGGATCCACAAAACTCCTTCTGGAAGACCGTGTGGTCGTGCTGCCATTTGCAAAACGAATAGTTTTGTTTGGTCTAATGCTGTGTCCTGAGATCTGTGTTTCCACTCATCTCAATCATCTGGTCGTGATTAATGTTAGTACTAGGTCAACTCTCGGCTGGTCTTATGGTGACTTTGGGACATTCTAGTCGTGGTACGGGAACGGGGTTGACAGCCCGGTAGCTTACGCCAACTACGCATTTCTTCTGCAACTGCTACGTTAGCCCACGTAAGTTTAGCTAACTGTCTGTTATAGACCGCAATACATTGTCCGCTTCCCCTTTCTGTTTTTATACTCCCAGCTTGTGCAATTCAAAATGGTTCAGTTTGACAACCGTTCCACACTGCTGTCAGACCTAACTCATATGCTACAAGCTAATGTTGCTAATAGGCGCTACAGGGAACGACATAAGCACAGGCCTCTGTAAATCTGTTGGATTAAACCTCTGCTAGCCTGCTTTGGGAGATAAAAGTAACATTTGGGCAAATTTTCTCTGAAACATCTATATCGTACATTCATCATGAAGTTGCTGCTAACATGTAGTTGGCCAGGTGTCAGAATGGATGAATAAACAAAGACTAGCATGCACTGTCAGTGGAGGCCTAAAATGGCCCATACTTGCCAAATGTGGCGTATTTTATGATGGATGGATTATCATTTATGTAATTGAGCCACACAGTATACAAGTCGTAGAGGGGTTAGTTACTGCTTAATTAATTAAACTTTTACGTGTACAGTCTAAACCTGTTATAACATTAATTACTTCAGGATTCAGTTAGAAGTAATGCTATACGTTCTTCGGACAAATCTATCTTTACATAAATGACTGTTGATTTACCAGGTTAAATGGGCAGGTGTTTTGTCATGAATGACATTCAATATAGTTTTGCTTGGTGGTCATGTGTACTATTCTGTCCAGACTTGTATTCCCTTTCAAAATGTGATTATTTTCTTCCAGTGAATGGTAGTGTCTAGAAAGGGTATGTCCCTTCAGGAGAGAGGTGCCAATGTCCAACCGGCCTAATTCCAATCCAGGGGGGTCACTGCGCCGTTCTCAGAGGAACACTGCTGCGGCTCAGCCACAAGACCAAACAGTCGCAGGAAGGTGAGTGATCCTCTTGAAAATATCAATTTTATTCTTAAAAATGTAAGACATTTTTTAGGTGTTTATAGACTCGCATAATGTAATCAAATACATGATTATTTTTTTGAAAGCAGTTGGAAGACATTGATTTTTAGATTGGATTTAATCAAATGAATGATTGGTCTTTGATCTTGTGATACCATAATCCTATATTTGTTGCTCTTTGATTTTCAACCTTACAGGTTGCAGTCAGAGCAGGTAAAAAATAAAGCAAATTCCCCGCCTGAGCAGAGAAGACCTAATACTAAGGCTTCTAAAGCTACAGCCAGCTCAGCCACAGGCCAATCCAGAGGGCACAGCACAAGAAGGTATCTCTTCACCCTACTTGGTCCCCTCTGTACTTGCATGCATTTAGGGTTGGTACCTTATTTGTGTGTCTTCACACCAAACGAGTGAATACACAAATTGTACATGTTTGTATATGCTTCCCTTTTGCTGAAAGTTTTGCAACCACCTAGTCTCGCTGGGACCATTAATAATATTACACTTACGTACAATGTATCTTTTTATATTATCAATATTATCAATTAATGCCACATGTTTTACACTTTACAGTGATTCATTGCATTTAAGGTGTTTTACCAAACCTGACTGATTTACCAAAACATGACACATAAAACAATTCCTCATTTCTTTGTCTGTTGCTCTATGCTGAGCAAGTTATTATATGACCGTTACCTCGCAGTAAACAATATGTGTTATGCAACAAGGTGCCAAATGTCACTTGCATTTTCTGCTTTATATTATGTCATGATGTTTGTTCTAGTATATGTTTACTTGTCTAAAGATGATAAAATTGCTTCTGTTCTTTTTTTCCCTGAACAGAAGTGGTCTTAGTCTGTCCGTGACTTCATTTGTGTTGCAAGGCGACCCGGAGGCTGCAGGCACATCTGAACAAGAACGTCAGGGACAGCCATCAAAAAGTGAAAACAACCGTTCTTTAAAGCGAAGTGAACCGTCTGACCCAATAAGTACTTTTGGACTGATTCCTGCAAAGAAATCTAAATCAATCTTGCCACCCTTGGAGGATACCTCAGAGACCAAGAAAGTATCAGGAAAGGCCAAGAAAAGATCAATTGCTCAAGAAACACCTGCACCGTCAGGTCGAGGTCAAAGCAAGAAAGGTGGGGCCAGTGCGGCCTCACTAACTCAGAAGCGCAAGAAAGCAGACTCCATCCCTGGGCTGAGTAGCACCACTGGGTCACTCCCCAATCGTACCGAGGGCAGAACTGCAAAACCCACCAAGCTGGCGTCTAAATCGGCCGCCTCAGCCAAAGCTGGGTGTAGCAACGTGACAGATTCCTCATCTTCTGCCTCCACCTCGTCCTCTTCCTCTACCACAGGTGCCCACAGCACTGCCACACAAGGAGCCCGCGTAAAGCAAAGAAAAGACCAGACTAAAGCTCGTCGCTCTCGGTCGGCCTCAAGTCCCTCCCCACGTCGGAGTACCCGGGACAAGGAGCAGGCCAAATCTGCCGGCTCATCCAAGTTTGAGTGGGCAGCACGCTTCAACCCCAAAGTAAATCTGCCAAAACCCAAGCTGTCCCTGCCTGGCTCTTCCAAGACTGAGGCGTCCAAACCTGGGCCATCTGGATTACAGGCAAAACTAGCAAGTAAGCTAAATGATAATTTTTATTATAAAAACTTTTTTCAAGAGTTTTCAAGTTGAGCCTCAGGAAATGATCTGTGTTCTTAGATGGACGTTACTCCTCTAGTATTAAATGTCACAGGGTTCAGTGATCCAGGCAGCGTCACAGCATCAGTTACAAAACCTCATGCCTCACCACTGAGACTATGCATTTGTAGTGTGTTCAACATGGTTTCAATGTCAGCTTTCATGAGTCTACCACTAGTGTGTCCTAACCAGATTGAATTAAAACTTGCTGTAAACATAAATTGCGCTTGTTACATTAGTTCCTTGGGTCAGCCATTGTTGCACGTGAAGACTGCTTTAAGCGTTGGGGAACAGTTCAAATTTCAGACGCAGAAGCAGTAGCCTGATAAAAGAGATTACGTGTGTCTATGGTTGGACACTTGTGAATGATTCTACCGTTGCTTCATAAAAACCACTGATAAAAATCAGGAACACTTTCTGAAATATTTAAACCAGTGGAATATGTAGGGTAAATTACTTAATTCTCAAGGCTCTCATCCTACAAAAAACCTGAATTCAACGATAAGTATGACATACAAATCAGAACATGTTGTTAAGGTCTTCATAGTGAGCAGCTTTTAGATGAGTGAAGATGTTTTCAAAGCTTTTAAATAATTGCAGCCTTTGTGACCACCAAAATGACGTATTCCGTTGCAATTAATCTTGCAGCTCTATACTAAGAGATGCTGATTGTCATCAAAACGCGTTTCGTGAGATGGTCAAGTGTACCTTATTTAAATCATGGTGTAGAACCCTTATCAGTTAAGAAGGGGCAGTCCAAACCTTCTTAAAATGTTTTAAGAGAATGCTATTTTTAAACCCAAAATGTATTTTAACATTTCTGTTCTAGGTTTGAGAAAATCTACTAAGAAACGCAGCGAGTCTCCTCCAGCAGAGCTCCCCAGTTTTCGGCGGAGCACACGTCAGAAGACCACGGGCTCCTGTGCCAGCACTAGGTAACTTGTCTTATTAAAAGGTTGTGTTTTCATCTCGGGTTGGTTTTTTGATTTTCAACATTACTCAAAAAGTTATGGACAGAGTTTCAGGAAATCTCTAAAATGGAATGGGGAACAAAATAATAGATTTCAGAAGTGATCTTCCAAAAGATGGCGCAGTGGTGAGGGCTTGTGTTTCACAGCAAGAAGGTCCTGGGTTCGAGTCCACCTCCAGGCCTTTCTGTGTGGAGTTTGCACATTCTCCCTGTGTTTGCGTAGGTTTCCTACGGGTGCTCTGGTTTCCCCTACACTAAAAACATGTGCAATAAGTATGAATGTAATGCGTGAATGAATGGTGTTTGGTGGCGTCGATGTCCCAGTGTGTTTGACATCTCAGCTTAATTTAAAGCTGCACTAACTGACTTTATTTTTGTATTCATTACGAAAATGCTATCCATGTCCGTGTAGGGCATTGGGATATACGTCCTTTTGACGAAAAGTAGCGCAGATTTGTGCTGGCGTGACATTATATTTTAGATCGAGTTTTGATGAAACAAGGAAGAGAATGTGTTTCGGGTCGCAGATTGTGACCAATCACCGCGGACCACTGGCCCCCACTTTTGTGAGAAATCTACAGGTCTCCGTTAGCATAGACGGCTGAGTTAGCACAACAAGACGAGGAGCTAACCTGAAGCTTCGTGTGTCTTCGTCACCGGTTACTGCTTACACAGCGAGACAGCCATCCAAAAGAAAGTCTCGTTCCTCCGCGCTTCCCGGTTCTATCGTTCTATGGTCACGTCATCCACGTGAAAATCCATGTCCATGTATTATCCATATTGGGAGACGCTTGCTTCGTCCCAACAGTGGGTGTGTGTGGGGGGCGATAGCTTCGTGGGTGCGGGGAGGGGAGCAGAAAGAGAGAGGCCAGCGAGTCTGCTGCTTCAAAATCCCAAAGTCAGTTAGTGCAGCTTTAGGCCCTGTCCACACGAAGTCAAGCTCAGGCCTAAACGCAAAAATACTTTATCAATCCAGTGTATCGTCCATACGAGGCCGGCGTTTTGGGGGGGTGTAAACGAACATTTTTGAAACTAGGTCCCAGAGTGGAAAGATTTCAAAACTCCGTATATGCCGCTCCGTTGTTACTGCCTCTCCGCAATGTATCTGAGACGCTTGCGTCATCGCCCCGCCTCTTGTTAAAGCACGCATGCGCCGCACTCAGAAAATAATGACAACAACAATGTAGCTTGTTGGTTTTGTAATCCAGTGTGACCCGAAGCAACAGTTCAACCTCATCGTCCGCCCATACTAATGTAGTACCAGCTCGCCCACTCGCCATGTTGTCTGTTTACAAAATTCCGCGCATGCCCACGGAAGTTTGGGCTTGATCCCGTCATTGCGTCACAGCGCCACCAACAGGTCTGGCATAGTTTCACAGCGTTTTCAGGCGTATTGACTACATTCATATGGACGCACACATTTACTGAGCTAACTCCGTGTTTACAGAAAAAGTTTCTGAAATTATAAGCGTTTTGTCTTCGTGTGGATATAGCCTTAATGTTGTCAAAAGACCAGGCCCCCAATGTTGTTTCAAGTAATTGATTATTCTATTATTAGAATACCTCTCTGGCGTCAAAATTAAAAATTATTTAATCAAATTTATTTTAAATCAAAATGAACTAGTCCATGATAATAATATCGCTTTCATAAGACTGCCTATTTAACCCATTTCGACCAATTTTATAGTAAAAAGTGGCGAGGGGCCCATCATAAATCAAGTGCACTCACTGTTTGATTAGCAAACGCCACCCATCTTCTCCCGCTTTAACCCTTTCCGGCCTGTGGGCCAGCAGTCTAAGCAGAGATGCCCAGACTTCCCTGTCCACACACTTCTTTCAGCTCAGCCAGGGGAATCCCAAGGCTTTCCCAGGCCAGCTGAGTGTCTCCCTCTAATGTCTCAGTGGGACATGTCTGGAACACCTGTTACGTAAAAAGTGTCTTTGTGATGATCCCTTGTCGGATCTTGTACGAGAATCGCGTTTTTGCTTCACAGGTGCTACGGATATTGTTGCTTTCACCGTGCAGCCTTGTTTACATTTTGTCTCCACACGACTGTGACAAGTCCCTGAGACGTGTGGAAAGATCCAGTCATTTATCAAACTAAAGGATTCTTTCCTTGGCCCCTGTGAATGACTGAGACTTGAGGCGTACTGTCAAAGACGACTTTGTCCATCGAAGGCTTCCATAGTACCTTTGACTGCAATATCTCAACATTAGATGGGAGTAAAAAATACAGTGTACCTTTTAATGAAACTGTAATCGGCATATATTTACGTATTAACATTAACTTGCTATTCTTACAGTGTATGTCATTCATGTCCCCTTTCTAACCCCTTTCCACACCCTGATTACATACAATTTTGTAAAAAAAAAAAAGGAAAAAGCACTAAGCAGAAGACGCACATCCTTAACTTTTTTCCCACATGCTTGCAGTCGGCGGGGCTCGGGCCTGGGCAAGCGTGGGGCAGCCGACGCTCGTCGACAAGAAAAAATGGCCGACTCTGACAACAACCAGGATGGGGCCAACTCATCGAATGCACGTGCAGACGAGGCTTCACAAGGAGCTTCAGGTAAGATTTTTTATTTCAGACGACTCATTTTTATGACTACTGTTATCATTTCTTAATTATGTTATGTTTGCTTTGTTTAGCTTCAAGTTCAGTCGCAGGAGCCGTAGGCATGACCACCTCGGGAGAGAGTGAGTCTGATGATTCTGAAATGGGAAGGCTTCAAGGTATGTTGGTCTGATGTAGGGCTGTACCAAACATGAAAAGGTTGCAAGATCGTGATCTTGGCTTTGTTCAATCTTGATTATGGACATGTGCTTTAAAATCGTTAAAGGAATCTAATTTTATTTCAATAGCGCTATTCATAAAGATAATGAAACATAAAGTGCTTTACATTTTGGTTAAAAACTATCCCACTCAACTTGACAAAACGTACCCACCCAAAACTACATTTATTACATATGGTCACACATGGTCACAGGCTGGATACTGGGGAAGCCAGCAGAGGACGCACGATCTGAGGCGCAAACTGCACCCAGAGCAGAAAGCCACCTGCTGGTCCATGAGCCAGATCCCTCACTGCTCCTGGTGCAGAGGAGAGCATAAAACAATTAAAGTCAGAAACCAATTATATGACCATAACACTCCAAAGGAGTGACGAGGAGTTACACTGACACAATTATCAGAAAACCAAGTCAGGAAAAGGTCATATTTACAGTTGTCTTAAATAATCTAATTTATGATTGCCCTCAGTTTTGTTCTTACCTTTTCTTCTTACTTTGTGTGTGTGAGTGTGTGTGTGATTTATGTATAAAAAATATGTAAAAGCATGTAATGATTTTGAGGAGACCCCAGGAAGATTAGCCACTGCATCTCAGTGGCTAATGGGGATCTTAATAAACTAAACTAAACTAAACCTGTGCACAGCACCATTAGCCCCCCCACTCCTACGTTTTAGACCAAATTTGCCTCCTGGTCATGACTTTTTCATCCCGGATGGCCCAACTTTAGTCTGATGGCTTAGACTAGCAGCATTGTTAATACAGATCATATTTTTTGATTGTTAAACGTTTTCCTTTTTTCCTCAGCTCTCTTGGAAGCAAGGGGTCTCCCTCCTCATCTGTTTGGGCCCCTCGGACCTAGAATGTCCCAGCTATTCCACAGAACCATTGGCAGTGGAGCAAGTAGGAGCTGCCTTATTACACTTCATCCAATATCATGATGTATAAGTCTTTATGCAAATGTATTTTCTGTTGTTATCCTTTGTAGGCTCCAAAGCCCAGCAGCTTCTGCAAGGTCTTCAGGCTACCGGGGACGAGTCTCAGCAACTTCAGGCTGCCATTGAGATGTGTCAGCTGCTGGTTATGGGGAATGAGGAGACTCTAGGTGGATTCCCTGTCAAAAGTGTGGTGCCTGCTTTAGTGAGTCTCTTTGAGTAGTATTCAGAATAAATACAATCTCGTTGCTGTCAATATTGTGGACTTCAAAGGACAAAACCATACTAACCTATATTGATGGTTAATTGCCTTTTTCTTTTCACAGATAACACTGTTACAGATGGAGCATAATTTTGATATTGTGAGTATAGAATATGAAAACATTTGCTTTTTAAATGTAATTATAACCATAACTGACTTGTTACGGGGGCTGTGTTTCCTTTTATTCACAGATGAATCATGCATCTCGTGCTCTCACATATATGATGGAGGCCCTCCCTCGATCTTCTGCTGTGGTTGTCGATGCTATTCCTGTGTTCCTTGAGAAGGTATCGCACGTGGTGTACTTTGACAGACTATACATTGAACAGCTTTTTAAAAGTCTGTGTGTGTGTATTTGATATTCAATGAGTAACTATTCAATTCAATCAGCTTTCCAATAATAACAATTTATACAATGATTGTCTGAATGAACATAAATTCCTTTAACATTACTACAAATCTAAACCTAGCTTTCAAGCCAAAAATAATGGGAACTCAATAAGGGGATAATTGAAATGAATAGTGCTGCCCTCTCAGCCCAAAGCGTCAAATAGTGAGCACTGGGTCTTTCTTACAAGTATGCAAAAGATAAACTGTTTTTAATAAAATTAAGACCTGTTGTTTGTCTTAACGAAGAGTCTTTGCCGAGCAGGAATAGTATAATGTGTAATGCACATATGATGGAGGTGAAATACACGTTAGATTTTTTTGTGGCCTTTAAATCACAAAATATATGGTGGTTATAAGTGACTGTTGTGTGCAGGAGCATGTAGAAGCGTGTGCACATTTTTGCAAAAGTTTAACAGCAATTAAAAAAAGCAATTCTGATGCAAAACAAGAATATGATGATGTATTAATACAGAATGTTATACCTGTAGTAAGTAAATCACTAACCTTGGGATTGTAATTTGTAAGAAATGACCCATACTGAGGATTTAATTGCTTTAATGACCATCTATTCATTAGTACAATAATTAAATAAGGTTAATAATGGTTTCATCAGACAAACTCACACAGGGTTCATAGTGATAGGGTTCGCTGCTGTCTGTCTCAGCTCTGTCTCTGTTCCATAAATTGTATACTAGAAAACTAACAACTTTTCGGCCTTTTATGAAGTGCAATTTCTTGCACTTCATTCGTACCTAGTTCAATTGATAACTTTGTGTACTGTTAGTCTATTAATATTTGGTGTTTCTACCCCCATGTAGCTCAAGGTGATTCAGTTCATTGACGTAGCAGAGCAGGCCCTCACTGCCTTGGAAATGTTGTCAAGACGACACAGCAAAGCCATTTTGCAGGATGTAAGTGTTGCACTGTGTTTTTTGTGAAAATGGTTCCAACCCTACACAATAAAAATTGTTTTTGTTTTTTTATTTAGGGTGGGCTTGCAGACTGTCTCGTTTACCTTGAGTTCTTTAGCATTAATGCACAGAGGAATGCTTTGGCCATAGCAGCCAACTGCTGCCAGAGCATAACTCCTGATGAGTTTCATTTTGTTGCTGATTCTCTTCCACTACTCACACAAAGACTCACTCATCAGGTACCGTATTTGATGGTATATTTCTGGAAACCTCTGTTAGAACGGGTTGTTCTCATTTTCTTGTTATTCTTTCAGGACAAAAAGTCAGTTGAGAGCACTTGTCTCTGTTTTGCAAGGCTTGTAGACAACTTCCAGCACGAGGAGGTTTGTAAGCTTTGTAGTTTATTTTGATGTTGATTGAATGTATATCACATGTTTCTTTGTGGTTCCATGAACAGAACCTGCTGCAGGAGGTGGCCTCGCGGGACTTGTTAACAAATATACAGCAGCTGCTGGTAGTCACTCCTCCTGTCCTCAGCTCGGGCATGTTCATCATGGTAGTGCGCATGTTTTCTCTTATGTGCTCCAACTGCCCCTGCCTGGCGGTCCAACTCATGAAGCAGAGTGAGTAACTACTTAATATGACGGCCATCATTCCACACAAAGTTCCTCATTTGGTTCCTTTAAAGCAGTGCTCCTCAAGTGCCAGACTGAAATGGTGCCTCTTAGGGCTCTTTCTTAAAAGTATGAAATGGATTATGATGAGGGGAAAGTTAGGTACCCCAGCTTTAACTCATTGAATGCCAGCCTATTTCAGAACAGGTACTCCCACAGTGCCAGCCATTTCTGATGATTTTTACTGATTTTTCAAGACCCACAGAATATTGTGTACTATGACTATCTGAAATCCGACACCAGATTCTAAAAGAATGGACTGTCTACTTTCCTCAGCAAAAAGAATTTTGTTTATAGCTTTTTTCGTTCCCCTGTAATCCTCCGTCGAGTAGAGGGAAGTTTTACTGAAATCACCAGAAATCACCAGAAAGTTGAGAAAAAAGAGGCACAACATGTGCACCTACATGTTTTCAAACCATTCACAGAGCAATGCTGCCACCTGCTGGCTCGATAAAATATGGTCTCAAGTCATCCCCATACATATTAGATACAATAGACATCTGGGAACGTGAAAATAGCGAAAAAGGCAATTGACGGATTAATGCGTCAATGGCACGACGTTACTATTTGCTTTGACGTATTTGTGCGTCAATGGGACACAATGAGTTAATTTAGTGAGTTTTGGATGCTCAGCCTGCGAAAAATGCACAAAGCTGTCTTGGGAATATTCCTGTCCGCGCTGGTCACATTATGGCCCCACATTAGGACTGTTTTAAAGGGATATTTACCAACATTTGTGGACTGTCTGGTCACTACTTTTTAAATTTCTTTCAAACCTCCAATATATGCATTTTTTTATTGGGATGGAGTTGTCAGAGCAGAGTTAATAGACGTATTATTTTGACTCCCAAGTTTTTGTGATTTTCGGACGCACGTTGTCAAAATAGATGAGTTAAATGAGTCATGGAAGCTCAAATTGTTTTATTTACTAAGCTTTGTCCATCATACGTCAAGTTAAGTTATTATATATAACAGGATACATCTGCTTTGTTTGGCTCCATTAGCTGTTGTTAAGGGTTACATTACAACATGAAAACCTGCAGCTTATATTCAAATGCAGCTAAAATGAGAACATGAAGTACTTTTTTCAAATTTAGCTGGTGCAGTTCAAACACATGTGCTTAATAGTCCAGCTAATACTGTATATATGTTATGGAATTATAATGATGGCAGTTGTGTTATAATTACAAGTTTTAATTCAAGTTGTTACACATGTTTTTGAATTTCCAGACATTGCTGAAACATTGCGCTTCCTCTTGTGTGGTGCATCAAATGGCAGTTGCCAGGAACAAATTGAACTCGTACCCAGGAGCCCCCAGGAGCTGTATGAATTGACCTCTCTCATATGGTAACATATATTGTTTTTATGACATATTTTGTAAAGGCTTGGGCATGCCAGGCTATATACCACCAACAAGCTGTAATAACCTAAACCTGTTTTTATTTAGTGAGCTTATGCCCTGCCTGCCTCGAGAGGGCATTTTTGCAGTTGATGTAATGCTGAAGAAAGGCAGTGCTCAGACAACTGAAGGGGCCATCTGGCAGTGGAGGGATGATCGCGGACTCTGGCACCCGTACAACCGCATTGACAGTCGCATTATTGAGGTATATTCACAAGGAACACTCTGGATGATATTGGTCCTCACTCATTTTCACTGATTTGTTCTAGACCAATTCTCATGGAATTTTATCACATTTCAGGAAAGATTTCTTTAATTTGCTGTTGTAACCTCACTCCTTGCACACGTCTTAACTCGGCACACATGCAAGAGCACTCTTTAATTAAACTCAAAATGTAGTGAGCCTTTTTGAATAGGGGGGACCACGTCATAGTCATTTACACACAAAGCTGCGATTCATGCATGTTTGAGCGTTGCTCTCCCCTCAGTCTTCTGCCTACTGGCACCTAGCATCTCCTTTGAGTTTTACAGGGATTCTAAGGCTTTGCTAGTCAAGTTCCCCGAAGCCAGGCATAGTAATGGGTCTGATTTTAAAGGCGCGTCCTAGGGGCTTATGGATTTTTCGCAGGCTAGCCCAATGTGCTTAAAAGAGAGACAAGAGCCGAGTTTACACTTTTGTTTATTCCATTTTTTTTCCATTACCATAGGAACTGGGTAGAGCGGGTACTTGATTTAGCAGGCCGCGGCAGGTGCCTCTTGTTAAAGGCCGCCACTGTTGTAAGCAAACACAGGTAGAAGGAGCTCGACCTTGATTTCATTCACGTGTATGGAAGAAAACCAAGTTGCAATCAAGAGTTCATGGACTTTTTGACTCCAACTTGTAGTCCAGATCAGTAAAATGCTGGAATTCCATTCATTGCTGACATGGAAGGTAACTGTTAAGGTAAGCACAGTAATGGCATGCTCTGGGTCTTAGAAATATGGACTTTTGTCTCTGGAAAGGGAAGGGAAATATTAACTTATTGACACTATTTGTGGCTATTAAAACACATTTTAAATAATTATTTAACTTTGTGGCACGCACTGAAATGTCACTGGGGGCCAAGATTTAGGTGAACCTAAATTAAATGTTTCACCTTACAACATGAAAACCAGCATCTTGCGTTCAAATGCATTCTATTAATGTACAAAGTGTATTTTCTTTTAAAATGTGACCGATGTGGCAAATTAACAGATGCCCCAAACACACTTACCTTTGGCAGTTTTCTTTTCTTAATCCATAAGATGAGTCACAATTGCAGCACAAGTGGAAATGGAGGAGCTACATGGCTTGTTGCCTCTATAATTGGTTTTAGCTCAGAAGGTACTTTTTCACAACTTAAACAGACCAGCACAAGCCTTGACGATAAAGCTAACATGAGTAAAGTTTGTCACATAGCATTTCCAGTCCGCTCCTACCTTTTTCTCATGTCTGTTTTAAATTTAATGTATTTTCATTTTTGTACTTTGTTTTGTAGACAGCCCATCAGAATGGCGAGGATGAAATTAGCTTGTCGACCCTTGGCCGTGTCTACACTATTGACTTCAACTCTATGCAGCAGATCAACGAGGACACCGGGACGGCCAGGGGCATACAGAGGAAACCCAATCCTCTCGCCAATCCAAACACAGGTATGGCCACAGAAAACTCATTACTACTAGTGCTGTTAGTTCTTCGTTGATAATCTTCGGCGTCCTTGTCGACCAAAATATCTTTGTATTGGTTAACTTTTTTTCATGTTGAAGCATATATTATGGTGTATTCACACCTACTGAATTGCATGTAGTTTCCACAGTAAGTCCGTGTCTATTATTAGACACGGACCTGAATCAAGACACAGCTAGAGCCCAAATAGCATTTTAACGATGCTCATTGTCTTTCCATTTTTTATAGGAAGTCATCAGGAGGTGCGGCGAGAAGATGCGCGAGCTCAGCTGATGAAGGAAGACCCAGAGCTCGCAAAGTGCTTCATCAAAACTCTCTTTGGTGTTCTGTACGAAGTGTACAGCTCTTCAGCCGGCCCTGCTGTCAGACACAAGTGCCTTCGAGCCATCCTCAGGATCATCTATTTTGCAGATGCAGAGCTGTTAAAAGACGTTCTGAGGAACCATGCTGTGTCTAGGTGTGTTATCATAGAATCTATTGCTGCTGACTTGATTGAAATGCTTAAAGTCTAGCGTACATCGACAGAGAAATTGGAGACAACTAGTTGTAAGGCGGCTTTTGGCAACTGAGAGGAGATGGTGGGAGAGGATCAGTTGCTGAAATCGGTCGATGTGAGCGCTCTTACAACTGGAGATGAACAGTCGGTCTCCAGTTTCAGTCAGTTGCCCGTGTTCTACTTTTCGGCAACTAGTTGTCCTCAGTTTCGGAGATATGACCCAATGTGCGCGCTCCATGCGCCGCTCCGACAACGTGTGTGTATTGCGTGTATTGCGAGCCCGCAACAGTTTATGTCAGAAAACACACTGTAGTTGAGGCCAGTTGCTGTCGATGTACGCGCTGTTATTCCCGAGACTGGTCTGCTACTGGGAGTTGCCCGTTTTCGTCAGATTGTCGATGTGTGCGGGGCAGCAACTCATATGCGACGGATATTATCAGTTGCCAGTCCGATGTACGCTAGGCTTAATAGGTTAGGTTTCTGAGCTAAAATGTTTTTATTTGTTGTTTTCAACAGTCACATTGCCTCCATGCTGTCCAGTCAGGACTTAAAGATTGTTGTGGGATCTCTACAAATGGCTGAGATCTTGATGCAGAAGTTGCCTGACGTATTCAGTGTTTATTTTAGAAGAGAAGGTAAAATAGCCTTGCCCTCGTTTATTTGGAGTAGATTTGATATTGGTTTTCTGCAGGTGTAATGCACCAGGTAAAGAATTTGGCAGAGTCTGAAAGCTTACTGGTGACCAGTCCTCCCAAAGCTTGTCAAAGTGGAAGTGCCAGCATTTGTCCTACCAGCAACAGCACTGCGTCCACGACGTCCTCTAATAATGCTATAGCTGAGCTAGGATCGCCCAGCTACCAGCACAGCATGGACGACTCCCTCGACCTCAGCCCGCAGGGGTGAGTATCGCCGTCTTAAGCCAGGTGTTAACTGTACGATGAAAGGTTTGATCGTGGAGGAGATGGTCAAACAATTTTGGCTCATAGATCTCACAAGGACAGACAAATTGTGCACTGGACACTAGAGGTTTTCTGTGGCAGACTGGGTGTCTGTGTTAATGCGCTAGATCGCAATTATTATTATATTGAATATAAATTTGCATATTCTTCTGCAGTAAGAATATGTCACTTTCCTTATATACTTATTATCCTGCACTATTCAACTGTACAGTATATAACTGCACTACTACATATATATTTTGACTGGTATTGAAGCATTTCCAGCATCTACAGCTAGTTATGTTAGCTAAAAAACATAGCTACTACTTATTTGTATATATTGTGTGTGATCCCTGTGTGCTCTTATTACTGTCCTATATGTGCGACGCAACATGGACATTTCCCCACTGTGGGACGAATAAAGGAATTCTTATCTTATATTTTTGATTGCACCAAAACAAAAATAAAGTTAAAGAAAGCTGATTTACAGTAAATACAATTGAATTTTGGGTCAATCATTTCAAATTAAATTAATGATGTGGTCGTGGTTTCCTGGGAAAAAAAAAAGGTTAAAATTATGTAGAACAACAAACTCCTATTAAGTTGAATGAGCATTATCACCCGTCGACCGATACATTGGTTTGAGGTTTAAGACAAACCCACATTATGATTGTTGTCTTGTTGAAAAATAGGACGGTTAGGTCGAGAGTACCAGACTTTACCTTATATTGTGTATGTAGTAGGTGTAGTTCTGTATTTTACAGATAGACGTTAGCCTGGGCACACAACCGTTTTGAGCGTGCCTCAAATAAGTAAACCAATGAACAGATTTTGGACATGCCACGGCTATCAAACATTTGAAACTTTTTCTAAAAGATCTATAGTTGATCAATCAGTTCTGACTGAGGTGTACACAATGACCCTAGTGTCGGGTACACTCAGGGAGCACGAGTAGCCTGCTCCTCATTTAATGTCTTTATTACACGATTAAAAATCGATACTTATGTCTTCATTCAGGCGTTTAAGTGATGTCTTGAAGAGGAAACGAGTGCCAAAAAGAGGGCCCAGGAGGCCAAAATATTCTCCACCAAGGGATGATGATAAATTAGACAATCAAGGTAAGTCACCTTTTCATGTTTTACTTCATTTGTAATTAAATTTTTTTTATCAATAATGTATCATTTATTTAATGCAGCTAAAAGCCCAACCAGTACACAGTCACCGAAATCCTCATTTTTGGCAAGTCTAAATCCAAAAACTTGGGGAAAACTGGGTGCCCAGACCAACAATGCCAACTCTGAACCTCGCACGGCAGGAGTGAGTGGACTGGCCAGAGCACCACCAAAAGACTCAATTTCAAATAACAGGTTGGTGAAAGCTTGTTTACAGTAAAGATTATGTGAAATATTTATTTACTAAAGGTTTTTTTTTTTTCCAGAGACAAAATAAGAGCCTGGATCAAAGAACAGGCTTGTAAGTTTGTAGAACGCTACTTCAACTCTGAAAACGTGGACGGCAGCAATCCTGCACTGAATGTACTCCAAAGACTTTGCACAGCCACTGAGCAACTTGGACTGCAGGTAAAACACAGGACACATGATTCTTTGGGAATATCTTGATTGTCTGTTCATATCTATACTAAATGACTCATTTTAACTTTCACACTTAGAAACTTGTTTGATAACCTTGTTCAAGGGCGTCATGCACCCTTTTTGGGACTGTGCTGAAATGTTAATTTTTTCAGTAACAAGTAATATAACTAATTACTTTGACTAACTATAACGCCGTTATCATTGCCGACACCACGTTACTGCACGTTACTCAAGTCGCACAATGAAGTGTTTTCCCACAAGCCCTGCTGGGCTTCGTGAATTTGCTCCTCTCATAGTCCCAGCGCTGCTACAGGACCGCAGCCCCACACTGCTTATTTTTCACAGCTTTATTGTGTGTTGCACGCCGAAGCGTGTTGGGCATTGCTGGGCGTTGCTGTGCCCATTCATTTGGGGCAACAGCGCTGCTGCGGGATTGGCAGCTGGTATCCGCGGCTGGGGCCAGCCCGTGCGCTGCTTTGCCCCTTTTTCCACCTTGTTGCGGACTTATTGTCCTTTATCTGTGCTTCTACTTCCCTCTAATAATCCATTCTGCTCCCCACCTCCTCCATTGCCCCGTTCACATTATTCCAGCGGCTGTAGGTGCTCCAACCCTGCTCCAGCCGCGCTCAGCGCGCTCTGCGCACTGTATTTTCTCTCGTTCTGGTCTGTCAGGTGCAAGGGCTGCTGAACGGAAGGGTCGTGTGTGTATGTGGGAACTCATTTTAAATAGTCTATTTCAACTAGTTTTATAATGTGTTTTGTTTGATCATTGTATAAAAATGAATGCAATGTAATTTAAATGTCTTATTAATTACCTTTGTGCTTTGCAGGATAGTTCCCTATACTAACATATAATGCTAATACAAAAATAGGGTGGCGTTGTTGCAACAATTTATCTACTTAGAAGTTATCCTAAATTACAACCAGCTAAAGCTTGGTACCACGACAAACGAAAAAGTAACGCAATAGTTACTTTTATAGTGGAATAACTCAGTTTGTAATTCAGTTACTTTTTGTGATAAGTAACTAGTAACTAATTACTTTTTTAAAGAAACGTGCCCAACACTGGTCTTTACACCAGTTTTGCCATCAGCTTCAGCTCCACACTACTGTACCTTGCGCCTCTCATGTGTCGTCCTGGGGAGTCACTCAGAGTTCATGAGGCAGTTCCATATTTTGTTCAATCTGTTCGCATGGAGCAGAGTGCCTGCAGTGACGCAGCTTTCAGTTAAGATGTAGTCACAATGAGAGCAAAAGAGAAGAAACCTTGATTGGACTGTTGCTGACATAATTGATTATTAGAAAAGTGGCCAATAGATCAAAGCAACTTGAGGACGAACTGTAAATTCGCGCCAACGCTGTGTTTTAGGCAGCATCGAAAAAGGAAATCCCAGTGTGGGGTAAAATCATCATCATGATGGTGGGTTGCCTGACATTCAGTAGTGCTGGCAAGAATCTTGAAGGAGAACTAAGCCAAGAAATCTGTTCATGACAAAACATTTTTGTGGGGCTCTAATGAATCAGCATTGTTCAGCCACATTTCAGTGTTTTTCTTGTTATAGGTGGATGGCGGCACGGAGTGCCTGGTAGAGATCTCCAATATTGTTTCCGAATCTGACGTGTCGTCATTTGAGATCCAGCACAGTGGGCTGGTGAAACAGCTCCTGCTCTACCTGACCTCTAACACAGATCGGGACCTGCTGAGTCGGGATTTGCGCCTGAAGCGATTTCTCCATATTTTTACTGACTGTCCGGTAAAAACTAGTCTTAAATAGTCTCAGTCTTGTTTTTTCCATGTACATAATTTCTTTCAATCAATTTCTCCCCCCTTTATTCATTATAGGTTCCAGGCATGGAACCCCTTACTCGTTTGGACCCAACCATGAATGGAGCGTACCTGGCTTTGGTGCACAAGATGAACAGCTGCTTGAGTCAGATGGAGCAGTTCCCTGTTAAAGTTCATGACTTTCCCAGTGGAAATGGAAATGGAAGCAGGTGTGTTTGTGCGCTAGTACTTGTGTCTTTTTACGGCTACCAATGCCAGTCTAAGAATTCCATTAGGCTTTTAATTGACTATTTTTTGTCTCTCCAGAGGATCTCAAGCGCTGAAATTTTTCAACACCCACCAGTTGAAGTGTCAGCTGCAGAGGCATCCAGACTGCACCAATGTGAAACAGTGGAAAGGTGGCCCTGTAAAGATTGACCCCCTGGCTCTGGTCCAAGCCATAGAAAGATATCTTGTGGTCAGAGGTCAGCATCTTCTCTAATCTTGTGTTGTATTTTCTGCATTTGGTTCTGTCCATCTGTAAACCATAGTCTGGTGTTCATAGGATACGGGCGAATCAGAGAGGAGGATGAGGACAGCGACGACGACGGCTCAGACGACGAAATAGATGAATCATTGGTATGTAACAAAACTTTATGCAACTCTTTGTGTGTTTGAAAACAATGTATTCAAAGTGTTTAATGCAATCTTCTTGATTGAAGGTTCAATGTGTATATTCTCAACGTGCACCGATCTGTGACACGGTTCTCCCACTATTAAATAAGCGTCTAACTTTGGAATGACTTCAATCATGTCATTATTTTCACTTTAATTAATTCTATCTTTTTTCAAGTGCTCTATTGAACGAAGTATGATTTAAATAAATTCCATTGGGGTTTCCTACACTTCACTCATTCATTTCAAAAGGCAAAAAAAGTCCCTTTTTGAGTGATCTTGTACAGAGTGGGTGATGCTTAGTGAGCTGCTCCTTTTGGAAGTAGGGGAGAGATGTGGATGTCACTGAAGTTACATCACATTGACATGTGATGGAGCTATGTTTGTACAAACACAAAGCGCACGCACATGGCTCATGTGAAGAGATTATTCACTGGACGTGTTGTGGAGCTGCCGCGAGCAGAGGTTTGCGTGTGACTTTCTGACATTAGTGGAAATTGTGGTATACAAAGGTATGGGAAGGAGCAAGGGAGCTGTGAAAAGTCACATATGTGTTTTTTGTGGTGAAATAGCAGTGCTTAGTGAAAATGTGATCAGTCACAGCACACAGACCTTTTACTTTTGCCTGAGATCTTTAGTTTATGTTGCAGGGCACCAGGTCAATCTTTTGGTTTGATTGCATTGATGCACTTCTGTCTCAAGAGTCAGACCAGATCTAACTGTCAATGTTTTAGCTGAGACAGTTGTAGTTTGTACATATGACCTGCTGTGTTACATCTGTTACACCTTGAGTCAGTATAGTTGATGGTTATATGAATCTTCACTCTTTCGTTTGGCCCAGGCGGCGCAGTTCCTCAACTCTGGCAGCGTACGACACAGACTCCAGTTCTACATTGGAGACCACCTTCTGCCGTACAACATGACCGTGTATCAGGCTGTCCGACAGTATAGTCTGCAGGCCGAAGAGGAGCGCGAGTCCACTGATGACGAAGCCAATCCTCTGGGGAGAGCAGGCATCTGGACCAAAACGCACACTATATGGTAACGTAGAAACACATCTGCTCTTGCTCTTGTGTTGGACTGTTGACTCATCTGTATGCATGTGTTCCTAACAGGTATAAGCCTGTCAGAGAGGATGAGGAGGGCAGCAAAGACTCAGTGGGTGGTAAGAGAGGCCGAGCACAAACCGCTCCCACCAAAACGTCCCCCCGAAATGCCAAGAAACAAGATGAGTTGTGGCATGGTGAGTGTGACTGCGTTCTGCTGCTGTTGTCATGGAACATTAACGGCTTAACTGAGATTTCTTGTACATATAGATGGTGTCTGTCCCAGCGTATCCAACCCATTAGACACTTACCTCACTACGGAGCCACCAGAGACCATAACCTTTGATGACCCCTCTTTAGAAGTCATTCTGCTGCTGAGGGTCCTGCACTCCATCAGTAGATTCTGGTTTTATTTGTATGAAGTATGTACCATTTTCATAAACCATTCATTCTAGTCCTCTATTGAAAACTCACAACTTTACTTTTTTCCCCCCAGAATGCAGCATGTAAGGAGATAATTTCCACCACAGAATTCATAAACAGTAAACTGACAGCCAAAGCCAACCGTCAGCTGCAGGACCCCCTGGTCATCATGACAGGCAACATTCCTACGTGGCTCATTGAGCTCGGAAAGACATGGTAATTGCAGATTCATTTGATTTAACCAGATGCATGTGTAAGGGGATGCCTAATATCGTTTGTCTCTCCGCAGCCCGTACTTCTTCCCCTTTGACACCCGGCAGATGTTGTTCTATGTAACAGCGTTTGATCGCGACAGAGCCATGCAGCGATTACTCGACACAAACCCTGAAATCAATCAGTCAGATTCTCAGGACAGCAGAGTAGCACCACGTCTGGATAGGAAAAAGGTGTCATGTTGTTTATTCTTCATTAGACTTCAATGACATCAACCATAATGATCCATTTAACACATATTTTAATTTTCAGAGGACGATTAACCGCGATGAGCTGCTTAAACAGGCCGAGTCTGTGATGCAAGACTTGGGCAGCTCACGAGCCATGTTGGAGATCCAGTATGAGAATGAGGTAATGAGTTTGTGATCTCTATAGAAATATGGCCGTGGCCAATATTAAATGTTGAATGCTTTGTAAACATGTGTAGGTGGGCACGGGACTTGGCCCTACTCTGGAGTTCTATGCACTGGTGTCTCAAGAGCTGCAGCGGGCAGATCTTGGCCTGTGGAGGGGAGAGGAGGTCACACTGTCAAATCCTAAAGGTACACGCTCGCAAAATCTGGAATAATTGGGAAATAATTAATAGATAATATACCAAATATGTCAACATTATGTTTGTCATGGCAGGAAGCCAAGAGGGAACCAAATACATGTTCTGCTCAAGGGGGTTGTTTGCAGTTCCCTTTGGCAGGACGACCAAACCAGCACACATAGCCAAAATAAAGATGAAGTTCCGCTTCTTAGGAAAGTTGATGGCCAAGGCCATCATGGACTTTAGACTGGTAAAGATCGCACATTGCACATTTGAGGTGTTTCTGTTTAAAGACTATTGTGCTCTTCTTTTTAGCTGGATCTTCCTTTAGGCTTACCCTTTTATAAGTGGATGCTGCGACATGAGCTGTCTATTAGCTCGCATGACTTGACCAACATCGACCCTGCTGTGGCCAAGTCCATACAGCACCTGGAGGACATCATTCGGCAGAAGAAAAGACTAGAGCAGGACAGATCACAGGTAAATGACGACAAGTGGTGGTTGCTCAGATTAAACTGTTGGGTTAAACACTGTGTTTTTTAAAGACCAGAGAAACCCTGCAGCAGGCACTGGAGAGCCTCAACATGAACGGCTGCTCAGTGGAGGATCTTGGGCTGGACTTCACTCTCCCGGGATTCCCAAACATTGAGCTGAAGAAGGGAGGGAAAGACATTGCTGTGACTATCTACAACCTGGAGGAATACCTCAGGGTATGGGTCTTCAGTTAAGATTCTTTGTGACATGTGTTGCCATGTTTACTTTGTTTGTTTTTGTTGATTTGATCTTACAATAAGTGTTCCCTCCTAAGCTGCACATGTGCGCAATTAAGCAGTGCTGTTGGGGTCCCTGCACACATAAAACTCCAATAGATAAATAAAACTCCACCAAGAGCAATGATATAATGCGATTTCACAGATGTTTTAATGGCAGCATGGGACACTGACAATCACGTTGATTAGCCATGTAAACACAAGTCAGCAAATTGTTATAATGGAGGAGCTGCGCTCGCAGGCCTCATTCAGACTAGAGAAAGGCGGAGCCAAAAGCCTTTTGCCTGCAGCGATTATTCATACTGTCCTCAAGTGACCGCCTGCCAAACACAGAGGTCTGAAGCATGGTTTTCAAGAGATCGCAGACACTAGCCAGCACTATACCAGCTGCCGTGGTGTGTGGGTGGAACTATGGAATATCCTATTCATCAGACCGTAGGACTGATGAATAGGATATTCCAAATTCCGTCCATCTCTTTGCCCAAAATACAGCCATCATTTTGCTGCTATGTTGTTGCAAGCACAAAAGTAACAAAGCGCCCCTTTGCTGAGTAAATCAGCTATCAATCTGATATGTTTCTTTTTGTTTTTACACATCTATGTCACATATCAGCTCCTCACCACGGGGAAGAGGGGGGGATTTAAACATTTCAAAAATGTATGGCTAATAAATGGCCCACAATTCTAAAATCATCATAAACATCATGTAATCAACATTTTATTGCTCACATCACAAAGCTCAGATACAAGTTAAAGGCAGTGGTCGTAATGACTTTTATAGGGAACTGTATCCGCTCATTTGCTGCCATCACTAAAGACTATACTGTTCTTAAAATCATGTTGTGCCTGTGATCCTCTTTTCCAGTTGGTGGTCTACTGGACCCTAAACGAAGGAGTGTCCAGACAGTTTGAATCGTTTCGTGAAGGATTTGAGTCTGTGTTCCCACTGCATCACTTGCAGTATTTCTATCCAGAAGAGGTAACGTTGATCTGTTGATGGTAAAGACGACTTGTCTAGTGGAAATGTGAACATGTTTCTGTGCTGCAGCTGGACCAGTTACTGTGTGGTAGCAAGTCCGAGACATGGGATGTGAAGACTCTCATGGAGTGCTGTCGACCGGACCATGGATACACTCACGACAGGTGAAATGATAACAATAGTGTCAAAAGGAGGCAGGAACATTTGATAGCAGTGTGTATTATCTTTGTTGTGTTCTCAGCCGGGCCGTGCGGTTCTTATTTGAAGTGTTGAGCAGCTTCGACGCTGAGCAGCAAAGGCTCTTCCTTCAGTTCGTCACAGGAAGTCCCCGACTGCCAGTCGGAGGTGAGTGACATTTCACTGCATGGACTTGCTTTTAGCCACCAGAACATTAAGCCTGTACTTTCTGTTTGTAGGATTTCGGAGCTTGAATCCGCCACTGACTATTGTGAGGAAGACTTTTGAGTCGTCTGAAAACCCGGACGACTTCCTCCCATCAGTCATGACCTGCGTCAATTACCTGAAGCTGCCTGACTACTCCAGCATAGAGATCATGAGAGAGAAACTGTTGACTGCCGCTCGAGAGGGCCAGCAATCCTTCCACCTTTCCTGATCTCCTCACATCTCTCATTCAAATGCCTTCAACAGCGACTGATGAAATCATGACTTCCTCTTTAGTTTTTTGTATTCACATACATTAAGGCTACGTGTACAGCCTTGTTAGAGAAAGAAGCTTGCAGAAGAGTAAGACTCCAAATATATATTTGCTGCCCCTCTCTCTGGAAAAAAATGTACAAAATGAAAAAATGGAGACGTGTTCCATGACTCAGACGTTAAAAGTATAAAAAGAGTAAAATCTATATCAGTAGTTGAGTAATGTTAAAAAAACAATTGAAAACATCTGGGTGACGTTTTAAACCACATCGCTATGTGATATTTAAAAAGGGATGTTTCCTCTTTGGAGCGACGGACTATGTCACGAACTGTGGGAGGAGAAGGGGTGGGGGTGGGGGGTTCATTGAGCAAGCTAGTTTTACTTTAGCTCCAAAGATCATTTGTACAGACAAATTTTGCGGACTTTGCTCATTCTACACATTTGATAGAATAGTTCTTTGTTCTGGCGTCGCTCCCGCGGTTCGTCTGTTTGGTTGTGTATTTTATTGGCCCAGTTTGTGTGCTGCTTTTGAGTTCGGCTTCTCCCTCCGTGTCTTTGCTTCCAGTTGTGATTGTGAGAGTTGCTGATGGTTGAATGCTGGTGGTCATCACCAGAGGTGGGCAGAGTACTAGCATTGAGTGACTCTTTGGATTATCTGTTTCACTAAAATATAAACCGTACAAGTTCTGGTTTTGGCAAAAAGTGCTGCACTCTTAAAATGCTCCTATTACCCACGTTTGAAAAACACGCTGAGCCAGACATTAAAATGAGCTCCAAATAGTTACTCAAGAAAAATTCAAAAGTAACTACCTACCTCTGACATAATCATTATTCCCTTTTACCCACTTTGAGCTTGCTTGTGTTCTTGGCCACCTTTTCTAATTTGGAGAAATTTCAGCCATGTGTTCATCAGGTGAATTACCTTTTTTTTTTTTTTTTTTTGTTTAGCATCTTTCCGTTGGGCCCGATCTGGATGTGTGGGATTTTCTTAGCCCCCAGGCGCTCTAAGCGATTCCTCAACACACAAATGTAGCTGGGCACAAAGTTTGGCTGGTCTTCTTGTTTCATAGAGAGCATTTCAAGTTCATTTATGGGGTTTAAAGTATGTACGCAGTGCCGCACCCTGTTCCTAAGGTGCGAATGCCTGCTTTACCTTTTATAATTTTCTATTTGGTCTTTATTTCTTGCTGTAGTTGTTGATGATGATTATTTTCTCTGCACTGCTGGCTTGGAACAAACCGTGGTGTGCACCTGCAGTCTGTGGCCAGGGGAGGGCGCCACTCTATGCTCTCCTGGCTCAATCGTTCATGTGCTGGTTTCTAAGATCTGCAATAATTTACTGCATCAGGTTCATGTTTTTACCTGAACATAAATAAAGTAACTGTTTGACTCATGGTTGTTTTTATTTTATTTTAAAATGGTTCAGAAAAAAAACTGGTCATCTTCATTATTGGATAATGCAACTGATTATTACATCCATAAGACAAAGGCCTGGATATCATAATATCAAATTTCAAAGATGTTCAAAATTAAATGAATGATGCCTTACAAGGCTGCGTCTAATGATTACTGTTTCACTTTTATCAAGGTTTTAATCCAGATTTTTTATAACAATTTTACGGAATCGTTTCTAAATAAAGCTGCTCAAAGACATTCATACAATATATATTTCCAGAAAACTTGTAATTGGCACATGCATGATGTTTTTCTTTTTTAATGGTTAACAGGTGGTAAACACTTCATGGTTTTAGCTCCAATGCATTGACGAGGCACATTTACTTGAATAACGTCAGTGGTTACCTTATACTTATTTGTTTTTTTTAGGATTAACTGAACAAGTAAGTATTTTAAATAATCTAATTGATTTAACCCCCAACACTGCTGGTTATGGGATCAATTGCAGAAAAAAATGGATGACACCACAAGGACTATTGAGTCTTTCCACACTTTTAGTGTAGACACTTTAGAGCCATATAGTACACTAGTCTGTTATTTCACTCCTCTAAAACACTTCCTGTATATTTATTTTGAGGGATATTATTCATACCCATTGCACATGTTTTAGCGGTAGGGTAAACCGGAGCACCTGGAGGAAACCTCTGCAGACACAGGGAGAACATGCAAACTCTCTCTCTCTATATATATATATATATATATACAGAAACATGTATTTGCATAGAACACAAGAAAATATTTGAAAAAAATACGTTATTCACATTTGGCATGCATGTCCCCAGTGACCAATATATAAATTGCAATAAACCCATTTTTTCTGCTAATATAATCATTAACTTGTCTACTTTAACTAAAATAAAATAAAACAGAAAATAAATCCTTTTTTTTTTTTTTTTCAAATGGTACTTTTAACTTTCAACATTACAGTCTATGCTTTCAACACTGTTACACAGATAAACAATATTAAGATATTGTTTAGGAAAAATAAAACAACTGTGTGGAAAAATATATACATTTTATGATTTCCAAATGCCATGTGGTACTTAAATGTTTGCTAATATGGGAGATATGGCAGCTTTTAGCTAGAATCTTCAACCCCGTAACAAAAAGTATGGTTAATTCCTTGTAATATTTGCCGTTCCATGTCTAAGGTGGGAAACAGTACTTTACCAGAGGTTCAGATACTTCTTTGTCAGATGCAATGTTCAGAAATACAATAATTTATCGTAATTTTTCCAAATTCAGAGAACCCAAAAAGTACCCGTTACAAAAAATCACCCATATATATATATAAATAATGTGCAATGTGCCACATACGTAAGAACAAAACATGTGTTTCGACCATATATCTTATATGTCTATGGTTTCGACCATAGAGGGATCCTACGGTCACGTGACTAGCAGCCACGGCAGCCATACTGGAGGACAACCTCGGCGAGTAACAGCCCTGCTAGCTCTCTATAACTGGACGTTCAAAACTAGAACTCTCTCGAACTACATGAAAACTGAACAGAGAATTCGAAACTTCAGCAGTTAGTGACCCAAATATATACTCAACCTAAAGTCATGAATCAGATCCTCTGAAAATGCATCCTAAAATGTATTATTAATGTTTATCGTTACATCCAGGTTTACCGCGGTCGCATATTGTCGCATTAAAACAGTGTTTTTTCATAAAAACGTGAACAGAAAATTCTAAAAACCTCTGTGCACGTGTATTAAGAATGTATATGTATACAATGTATATGGTGTAACAATAAAACATTTAATGTGTTTATTGTTACACCATGGATCTATGTGTGGCTACACTGCAGTGGAAATAATGAGATTACATTCAAATCAATGGAGCTTTCTGCGTCTACTGAGGAGCCGTATATTTTATTAATAAATACTAGTACGGGGCACCCTGGAGCACGGCTCAGTCGTTCACATGTCTGCTGGCCTTCGGTAAGTCAGATACCCTGTGAACCGGGTGAGGTCCTGTGTGAGACCAAATATATAACAGCTATGCTACAAGCTAAGCTACAGTCTATGCTACAAGCTAAGCTACAGTCTATGCTACAAGCTAAGCTACAGTCTATGCTACAAGCTAAGCTACAGTCTATGCTACAAGCTAAGCTACAGTCTATGGAGCAACCCCACGTTGCAGTCAGACAGATATGTTTTATCCTTAAACTTCTGTTTGTTTCGGAATAACACTAAATCCGCCATCAAATTGATTTCACTTAGCAGAAATGAAATGATCCGAGCATATTCGGGCGCTCTGGGGGCTATTAGTTTTTTGTTGTTGCTTATGGTTGTGCCATTTCTCTCTCGTTTCTTTGAGATTTCTTCTGTTTTTGAGCCGTGTGAAGTAAGGACGGCTGGCAGTCGGTAACACAACTTATTTTCCCTGTCTCTCCTTTTGCTGCAGCCAAAAACGGCAAACATTTAGAACATGTGTATGCGGTCCCGGGTGCACGCCACTATCATACAGCGTTTGCTTGTCCTCCAGTATGGCGGATGCCCCGCGAGTTCGAGGCATCGTGACGTCACGTGAGATATCTCTATAGAGTAGACCGAAAGTTTGTGATGAGCGCCACGAGGCCAAGAGCCGCGGCGCGCGAGACCTGCGCATGTGCAGTGGAACAAACTTAATATTTACAGTCTATGAGCGAAGGTAAGTACTACTCACTTTTCAGGCTCAAATATAACATCCATGAACGTATGCAACACACATTTAACATGAATAGAGTATGTTCCTAGATTAAAATCCTGACTTTCACGTGACGTCATATCCTGTGAAAAAAGGCTCAGCTCACCGGAGGTCGGCCATGCTGGTACCATGGATGTATTATATTAACTGGATAGGGTATTACTAGCTTGTAGCTGAATAACTCAAGTGCTCAGGGGATTCTCGCGGTACTGCAGACTGAACCAGACTAAATTCACGTGGGCTACCCAGAAATTTTCCCCATAGAACTCAATGCATATTAAAACAGCTCGACCTCAGCTGACAGAGAACCTACAGCTTTAATAAAGATAGTATTTTGTGGGGATTTTAGTGTCTCTTGTCATCCTGAACTTTGTTTCTTCTTAAATCGTTCTGTTTTGTTTAAATCCACACTTTAGTGCCACAAACTCTGCTCGTCTGGCTCTCGCTCTAACTCCCGCTCTGATGAACTGCTCTGATTGGTCAGAGCGCGGCCGAGCCCCTCTGTGCACGTGCGTGAGACCTGGTGTGAGACCCACACACGCGTGTTTGACGCAACGCATTATGGGAGATCATCCACTGCGCAGAACCGGGAGGACCAGACGATGCCCAAATACCCACTAAACATCCGACGTCCACTCAACCTCCAGATCACGTCAATATCGCGTCGGTCGGTCGTGACCTTTTATTTACGTCCAAACAACGTCTGTGCAAGGTGCGCATCTGGACGTAAAACAATGACCTCCCATATACGTGGATATGACGTCCAATCCCGACCTCCCCTAGACGTCGAAAACAGGTCATCGGCCGT